GCCGTCGGTGGCGAGTTGCTCCTGCTCCTCACGCTTAGCGATTTCACGTTCCCACTGCTCGGCACAACTCAGCTGGCGGCCGTGCGTCTGGGAGGCTTCGGATGGCCGGGGTAACACTCCGGCCGGCACTGCATACTCTGGTCGCTCCACATCCGAAGGCTGAGAGGCCAGCCAATCCGCATATGCATCACACTCACGCTTGAACACCGTTTCATCCCGACTTCCGTCATACGCCAACTTCTGTCAGTCCTCGTATCGTTCCGAACTGAGTCGAACATAACCTTCAGACTTCGGGAGATCTCCGATCGGTACCCACATTAGCATAGGTGAGTGAGCACGGCAAACCGTAAAACGTTTCGACACGTTCGTCAACCGCACTCTCTCGACCTTGCCTCGCCGAAACTTCGTTACCGTAGGCAACAGAGACTTCGTGCGACGTACCCACACCTCGTGTGTATCCAGAGGTGGTTGACGCCTCGGTACTCTGTACTCTGCGAACTCTCGGCTCTCAATGGTTAGGTCCTCGGACGGACCACCGTTGACGTGCGGGCCTTCACCTTGGTCATTCAGCATGTTCAGCGTCTTAATGAGTGGAATACTCACCTCGTCCGGCAACCTCGCGGTCGCGTGGAACAAGTCCAAGCGCACTCCTGCAGGAATCATGAAGTCGGTGCCGAGGACTACATCCACGCCAGCACCATGATCCATAATCCACAATTCGAATTCGTACACTCTGCTCCAGCCGAGGGTTACTTTCACGAGAGTTCGTCTCTCGGTTGTCATGGTTCCTTTCGTAAAACCCTTAACCTCCATACAGCGGCTGTGACCTTGGATATCACGCAACCGCAACTGCTTCGCGAACCGTTCGGAGATCACACTAACATTCGCGCCAGTGTCCAATAGAATCCTCGTTCGCGTGTCATTTACCGCGCCCTTGACCAGAGCTCTCATCCGAGCTCTCTTGTCGAACTTCTGCGCGGACCACCATCCCAGCCTCTCGCCTGGAGTAACTTCGTCACCCCACTGGGCGTTCGGCCAGGGTGTCCTTCTTGCACCGCACTTGAGACCCAAGCCTCGGTGTCATCTTCATCATCTTCATCATCATTCATTTCACTTGTTACACCTCCACCGAGGGTTGCCCCTCTCTCCTTTTCATTTTCCGTCGTTTTCACACATTCCTTGTCCTTGTCGTTCGGCCGTTTACTTTCGCCCACGAATGCGTAGACACAGTCTGCATCAATCGCGGGCTCAGCTAACTGTGGCAGCCCGATTGGGACCAACCCAGTTTCAGTTGGCGGGTTGCCTAGTTTAAATTGCCACCGAAGACTAGGCTTTGGAGCTCTGGCGAGAGGTCCTTCTTCTCAGCCTTCGTTTTGATGAACGAAGTGAGGGCTTGAAGTGCTTCGCATTTGCCGATGTCATGCACCTGCTGGCACAGTCGGCAGCGGCGGTAGCAGTAGTGAGCCGAATGCCCGGCTCCACCACAAGCTGCGCACGGTCCGTACTGACGCGGACGACCATCACGGTTGTCTCGGCCGGAGTGGCGGTTACTCCGGTCGAGTCCTCGGCCGGGTTAACCACCCTTGCGTTGACGTTGGTCAGGGCGCGCGTACGTTCCTTCAGCTGCTTGGCGTCGCTCGCGCTCATTGGCAGCAGCGATGTGTGCTCCTTCCTCACCAGAGCTGCTAACTGTAGCCACCATCACTCGGATCGCTCTCGGAGTAATGATAATCACTGGCGTCACTCTCGCTGTCGCTGTACGGGGTACGGCGTGGCGACGAGCGCTCGGCTCTACCACCCTTGGTACCGCGGACTTGCAGTTCAGCGACCAAGTCTGACAGCGAAGCTTCAGCTAGCGAAATGCGCGGAACATGGGGCGAGTCATCGCGGCGGCGAGAGTCTTCGCGGCGACGTTCGTAACCACGGTCGCGGTCGCGACGGTACTGTCACGCGAAGCTTCGTGGCGACGGTCATCACGACGACGCGGTTGGTCTCGACTGCGCGAGTGGTGTGACGAGGTCTCGCGCGACTGCCCACGCTCTTCAGACTTCAAGATGTCGTTGATCATGTCCTCGAGTTCGTGAATGTCCTTCACCCGAACGTGGCAAAGCCGGCGTTCGAGGCTTCGGCCACCGCACGTCTCGAGGAACCGCTGTACATGGTCCTTCGCATCGCGACCACCACTCTCGAACTGTAGGCCAGCATTACGGGCGTAACCATTCAGTCGGTTGAGGTAGTCACAAAGGTGTTCCGAGGACTCGCGCTTCGCAGAGTAGTAGCGAGCCTTCGCAGACTGGCTAAACTGCGAGCAGTAATACTTGATAAACGCATCGCTCAGTCGCTTCCACTGACGCTTAGTCCTCTTCGGGAGTTGACGGTACCAGTGAAGAGCACCGTCCCGAAGGCTCAGCTCGAAAGCCATACACCACTCGTTAGGCGGAGTGTGCGTTCCCTTCATCTCGTAGACGAAAGCTCGGAGCCACTGCATAGAGTTTTCACTCCGATTGCGGGCTCCTGAGAAATTCTTGATCTGCGCAAGCGGCCGGTGTGTGGCGATCTCGAGCCGAGGAGTCGAACTCAGTCGCTCCATCTCACTCACTTCGCGCACTTGACGGGCCAACTCATCGCTCGGGTTGTCAAACCCATCTTCATAGTTGACGTTGTCATTGTCGTCCTCGTTGGACGAGGAGTCATCGCGCGGTGTAAACCGGCGGCTTGAGCGTCGCGTGGAGCTTCGTTGCGTGCTCCGCTCGCGTCGCGAACCTTCGGACTCACGCGCAATACGGTCGGCTCGACTCGCCGACCTAGGAGTCACCATGTGCGAGTCTTGGAAGTACGACGAACCTTCGGTCTTGGCGGAGAACACTCCGTCCGTCGCTTGGCTTTGGTTTGACCGCTCGGCGGACTTCTTGGGTGTCTGCGGCAGTGGGATCTTCGAAGGATCAGCTTGCTCCCTCGCGGGGCGAGCACTCGGGGGGCGTCCCAGAGTCAGGTCCGACTCCCCGAAGCTCAGGCGAAGCTTCCTCTTCCACTTATGCAGCTCCTTGCCGGTGAGACCCGGCGTCCAACTCTTGATCGAGACTTCGGACGGACGAGTTCTTGGCTCGCAGCCCATCGCTCGTAGGAGAGACACCGTGTCCTCGGCTACCTGAGTAACTGAGGTCGACTCAACAGGGTGTTGCAACTCCTCCTTCAGCTCAGCCCAAGTCGGTTGACGCGTCATCTCGGGATTGAACTGCCATATCCACTCGCTCGACTCCACCATCTGCTCGAACATTCTGCCGAGCACCTTGTTCGCAGCTGGAGTGCTGCTGTTCATAGCGGGCCGACTTCCGCGGGATTCTTGAGGACCCTTAGTAACCTGCACCAGAGCCCTCGAAGCCGAGGTCTCAGTGCCATCCTCAAAGTCGTCATCCGCATGGTCGGGTTTCGCCACTTCATCAAATTCCGCGACGAGGTTCCGGGACAAGGAGCGCGAGCCTCCGCTACGTCCCGCGGGCAGCATCGCATCTTCTTCATCTCCGAACTCCTGCGTCGTCGCTGGAGCCTTCTCCTCCAGGTCATCATAGTCCATCATCATGTCATCCTTGGCGTCCGAATCTTCGTCGACCGACTCTTCGAAACTGACCGACCTTTCGAAGAACGTCGACAACCGAGGCGTTAAGTCACTCGCGATCGTTGACGAACCTTCGGCCGATCCTCATCCCGACTTCACCGGCGTAGCTGGTACCGCTGACTTGGATCCTTTCGCCATCTTGTTCTTGTTCTTGTTTTTGTTTCTTCTTCTCTTCTCTCCTCAATGCTCGTTGGGCAAAACCTACACAGACCACAACACACAATCGGTCACACCAGTCCCGGGTCGCGGCACCAGTTGTCGTGTAGGAAAACACGAGTTTACGAGTCCTCGCCCTATCAACCGAAGTCTCTAGGACGAGCCCTACCAACAACACACGCCGTCTCCGAAGAGTCGGCGATAGATTGTCGGGATAATAAACCTGAAGACCAGGTCCGATCCCTTATACGGGCTGGAATGTGCCTCCCTGTGTGTTGCGGGTCAGGTAGGTTTACCCTTCGTTAAAATATAAGAGCACCCTTAGCCATGAGCCACGGCTAGGGTGCAATGTGTAATACGTGCTTTCGCACTAAACCTCTGTGGTCCCTCAGAAAGGAAGGGTACCAGGCCAATCGAAGCCTCTTACAGGGGCGCCGGGGCGAAGCCTCGGCTAGAAGTCAAATACACTGGGGGGTCCTTGCCTCACACCCAGTCAAACGTACAACTGTACACAGAGGTCTCTAATACCTCCCAACACTCGGTCACCTACCCACTCTTGGCCTTACCAGGATGAACACTCGGTCAATGCACCTTATGCTCACCGGCAGACATACCCCGTGCAGCCGAGTGTATCCAGACCCTACGCTAAGCTTAGCGACTTACCGTAGACGGACTTGACCCTTGTGTGGCTTGGGGGGGGAAATTCTGCTCTGTTTAATGATTTAGAGGCTGTCAGGCCTCTCCTATAGCTAATCCCTAAGGTCTATACAAATATCAAGTGTGGACCGAGCTTTCGAGCTGATCCTACAATCGGACGAAGCTTCGTCCTAAATCCGAACTCCTACTGGGCATAAAGTGTACCCACTATGAAACTTCGGAGGCCTCGGCAGGCGGTTTATTTTGACCCGCCGAGACCCTTCTGTCACTCCGTAGTCTCTATCAATCTTCTGGGCACTAACGCGCGGGGAATGTGACCGACCAATCAGAGCCCTCGGTCAGCCATCTCTCGCAAGCTCAAGGCAGTTAGACCTCGGCCGGAACTCGCCCGGCCGCAGTCATTTCCCGATCTCACATTTGTCCACCAATGCGGACCGGTCTTGACCTCAGGATGCGAAAGGGCTTCCAACAGCAAATCTTTGACAGGTTTTGAAGTATACTTTAATCAAGTTTAATGCTTATTCTGTAGGATACAGAATAAGAGTTGGGGTTAGAAGGGTTAAGAGCGGCGATGGTGAGGCCGAGTTAAGGCGGAATAAGCTAATCCAGCCTGAGTTAGTCGGAAACAGAGCGATTGGCGGTTTCCTACCCGCCAATCCATGCCATTCTGCTCGTATCTCCGTCGATTGGCTCGCAAATGCTGATCGCGTGGGTTAGGGGAAGCACTCACAATCATAGGCGGAATTAACACTAAATAAGCGTTGCTCGTCCTTTTATGGATCTAATTCCGCCTGATTTAACAGCTCACCCGCCAAAATATGTGAAAGGCACAATAATACATGTACCGAATACTTGGTACGTTAAGTCGATTAAAACCCAAATTGGGTTTTACTTACTAAAAGGTCCCATCCATCAAAGGCAGCCGCTCATTCAGCACAACGGTCTCACTCTACCGACGGTCATGTTCGCGTCCCGAGTGTCGACTGCGCTACGCCGCGCGGCCCGCGTGGCAACTCGCCGGCCAGCGGCCGCGCTTTCGGCCGTGCACGCGCCTCGCCGCGGCGCACCCGGCGCACTGACCAGCCGCGGCTTCGCGCAGGTGACGTTCACGTTCGTGGACGGTGAGGGCGAGAGCACGAGCGTGACGGCCGAGGAGGGCCAGACGCTGCTGGACGTGGCCCACGAGAACGACGTGGAGCTGGAGGGCGCGTGCGGCGGAGAGCTGGCCTGCTCCACATGCCACTTGGTGTTCGAGAAGCGCATCTTCGACGACCTGCCGGAGATCAGCGAGGAGGAGGAGGACATGCTGGACCTGGCCTGGGGCCTCACGGACACATCGCGGCTGGGCTGCCAGATCACGGTGACCAAGGAGATGGAGGGCATGACGGTGCGCATCCCGGACGAGGCCGACAACCTCATGTAGAGCAGCGGCCCATATAGAAACATAGACGGACACAGAGAAGGGGAACGGGAGCTACCTAGTTGCTGCCTTAGACTGTACCAGACACAGCGCGGCCCGCGTCCAATCTCAACGAAGCCTGCGACTTTTTTTTGCCTTATTCTCATGCTGTTCAATGGCTTTTTGACTACGCTTGGCGGGCTTCATTCATCTGCTCTTCCAGGTCCACTACAAGCTTGGCCAGTCGGTCCTGTTGCTGGATCATGGCGCTGATCTTGGCCTGGATCTTCTCCAGCTCGCTCTCGGCAGTTTGCGAGCGAAAGAACCCGGAGAAGTCCGAGTTGAGCTGCGAGATACGATTTAGAGTCGTGGCCGGCGTGGGGGTGGCCAGTTGCTTGGCGGTCTTGTCATCGATCGAAGCGGACGCCGCCATTTTCTCGAGGGCGGTCAGCGACGTCTCCACCGATGAGGAGCTCGCCGTCGTGCTCAGTTTCTTCGGGGTCGTCTTGGAACGTTTCTCCACGATGCGCGCGATGCGCTCCTTCATGGCCGGGTAGTGCGTGAGTGCGATGAGGAACTTCTCGCGCGTGAGCATGCGCAGCTCGCAGAAGCACAAGGTACGCACGGTTGCTGTTCGCAGGCAGTTCTGGTTCAGGATGGCCATTTCGCCGAAGTACTGCTTCTGGCCGAGCAGGCCGAGCTGCACGCCGGCCTTGACGATCTCCACGACGCCGCGGAAGATGAAGAACATCTCCTCGCCGATCTCGCCCTCCAAGATGACCTCTTCGAGCGGCGGGAAGCACACCATGCGCATGCTCAGCGCCAACTCCATGAGGAAATTGTGGTCTGCTCCGGCGAAGAAGGGCATTTTGTTCAGCACACTGTCGTTGATTGCAAACGCAATCTTGGACCGCAGCAGAGCTGACAGCTCGGCGAGGATTTTGCCTTCGTTGACCAGCTTGGACTCGGCCGAAATGCGCGCGTTGAAGTAGAACTCGCGGATCTCGTACCGTAGCTGCATTGGCAGCTCGCGGGCCTCCATGTAGTCGTTCAGCTCATCCATCCGCAGCTGAAAGCGACTGTCCGGGCCGTTCAAGTTGGTCACCATGGCTACGACGTTGGTGATACCGTACGCGAATATCCACGCGCCGATGATCATCGCGAAAATGGCAAAGATACGTTCATGTGTCGTGGTCGGATGGACATCTCCGTAGCCTACTGTCGTCCTGCATCATGGATCAAGTTATCATGAGTGTGAAGAAGCTTGTGCCATCCCCAACTATCCGCATCAATTTCCACGCACATGGTCATGATCGCCCAGTAGAACGACGTCACGTACTTGTCGTACATGCCTTTATCCTCGAGGTCCATCGTGGCGACCCAACCATCTTCTTGATCATAACTGATCAGGAAGAAGAAGCAGCTTCAAAGACGCAAGGAATTGTAACACAGTCAGCCAGCACCAGACAAACCTGATGTGACCAAGGCAGTCGTAAGCTTTACCTAAGCCAATGTGACGTAAAGCATACTAGCATGCCGAATTTAAAGATGCTGCTCACAGTGGACCGTAGGAGCAACGCGTAGTCCAGCCTGAACGTTGAAAGTGTTAATGAACCCATACAAAGCCGACACCAAGATGAAGCCCCTGCCCACCTGTTGAGAATGCGCGTGATGGTCAGCATTCGAACTAGTCGAAAGAGACGAAAGAGTCGAAACAATCGCGCAAGCTGTGGAATGCGGAAGTACGAGCCCTGGATGTAGTAAAGCGGGAAGGCTGAGATGAAGTCCAGCAGAAACCACGAATTGAAGTACTTTTTGGCGATTTTGTGGAGCTTCACTTCAATTTGGCCGTGCTCTTCATACGCAGAGACGAAATTAACGAACTGTCAATAGAAAAAGGTATTAGTTTCCTCTCACGTCGGCAACAAAATCACTTCACAACTCTCACGATGTCTGCGATGAAGAAGCAGTCAATAACTCGTTGAATGTATTCGATCGCCGAGATCGGTTCTGCCACAGAAGCTCCGAACGACAACTGGAACTGCATCAAGCCATTAGTTTGTACTTGCACTCCACCTTGTCGTACCATTTCAATATCAACTTACGGGAATGCTGACAGAGTTGTCTTGAGCATGAATTCGCACATACATGAGATAGTCAGTAGCGCGTAAGTGGAGGATATGCAGTGAGACCCGAACACCTTACAGCAAATGAGCGTGACCGAGAGGAGGTCCCACCGCACGCGAAACTTTCCGTTTGGCGAAATGATGTACTTCGGCATTGCCAGTTCGTTGATTTTCTGCTTCTTCTTGTTGATGATGAGCTCATTCTTGGACACGGTCTCCACAAAGTCCAGCGCCTCGGCTACACGAAAGCCTCGTTAGATCGGCAACAACGTTCACCCTATCGTAGGCTTTCAACGCACCTGGCGTGAGCTCGTCCATATCTCGCTCGAGCCTTTGGTCCTGGAACTCGCTGATCTTGCCGTCCGCAGGCTTCACCGCCGCCACTTTGGCTCGGTTCTTGACCTTGCGGATCATGTTCCGCATCGTCACGAGCTGCATCAAGCTCGACTGCGTCAACTGGTCGTGGAGACTCATTCGACGCGGCGTCTTGGGCGTTGGTTTGGGCTGCAGCATCGGGGGCAGCGGCAGTGGCGGGAGGCGAGCGGCCACCTTTGCGCGCAGCTCGTTCTGCGCCAGCCGCATCTCCTCGATGGGGGAGAGGCCCGTCATGTGGGCCCGCTCGGCCTGCCGGGCCATGAACGGGGACTGCGGCATGCTGGCGATCCTCGATACGTCCGGCCCTTTCTTGGGGCTCTCGGGCTCCCGCTTGCCGCTCATCATATTCAACGACAAAGTACTCCACAACGACTAACACTAACGTGGCGTCTCTTTGAATGGCACAAGTCTCAAGCGGCCGGTCGATTCCAGGGCTGGAGAACGGTTTCAGGCACTTTTGAAGACGCCGGACACCATGCCGCCGCGCCAGGACCCGCGCTACTCGATCGGCTCCATCGAGGCCATGGAAGCTGCCGGGAAGCTCGAGTTCTTCAAGCTGCTGCACCGCGTCATCGTATTCGCCATCGCGCTTTGGTACGTGAGTATCTCGGCCAAGGCGTCCGTGGCCTCCGTCACGGTACTACGCGGCTTCGAGTCCAAGGATCTGGGGACCACCGTCCACGAGTGCGCGCTCATTGCAGACTACGCGGGGACGGCCACCATCAGCGAGAGTCCGCTGGTGCAGACGGTCTTGAAAGGGTCCACCGACCTTCGGAACGACACCATTTATCTCGTGACCGACTCGACACACTCGTTCACGGAGTGCACGGCGGTAGAATTCTACGACAGCTCCGTGTACGGCAACGACTTCACGCGGTTCCTCTTCAATTCGCTGCAGAAGCACGCGGTGAATGACCTCGCGTACCTCGAGGAGCTCGAGTTGATCGCTCCAGTGGTTGACTGCACCTTCGACCTGTTGGTCTCAAGCGACGAGGCCGTGACTCAACTGCGCATGTACTTCCTGGCGCGTCAGAAGGCCAATACGAGCGAGACGATGCTGCTCTCGGCTTTAATCTCCACGCAGGATTTCCAAGTGGACCAACAGTACCAAAGCGGCGCCGCGCTGTTGGCCACCATCGCGCCTATCACCGACATGCGAGCGACCGAAGTGACCCACACGTTCGCCATGGCCTTCAACTACCCGTACGAGTCCGAGCCGCACTTCACCAGCGCTGAGTTACTCGGCGTCTCGTCCGATAATTTCTGGATCTTCAAGAGTTTGCCGCAAGTCGACAGCGTTCACCCGGCCAAGGAGGTTCGTACAGCGTTTCGGACGGGCGGCTACGTGGACGACCCCATCGCGCAGTCCAACATTGAGATAGTCATCTGGAACTTACCCAGTGATCCAGCCACCGAGCTGAGGAACTGGGAGTGGCATTCCTTCGCTTCGTTGCACGATTCCTGGGCCTGGACGCACACTATTCACGCAATCTTCGTATTTGTTGTGCAGTTCGACCTAGTGGTGCTCACGTTCGTTATCTACCGACGTGTCCGAAGCGGCCACTTCTGGGTTGGCGACGCGTTCGCCACCATCTCCAACTCGCTGCTGTATCGCGGCGTGGTGATCTTCGTGTCCAACCATTTCAACGGCTACTGGACGCTCACCGAGATGTGTCTAGCGATCGGTAACGAACTCGGCAATCGCCAATACGTTCACTACCGACCGGAGATGGCGCACGCCGATCTCCTAACGTTCTTCATGAACGTGACCAGCGTCCTCAGCTACCTCTTCCGCGAGCGGATCGACCCGGTGCTGGCGTTTGCAGCCTTCGAGTTTGGATTCACCTATCGCGTCGAGCTGGTCGATGGTCTACCTGCACTCCGAAATATTGTGGTGGACTTCGCCGAGAAAGACTACTGGCTGGGCCTTATCAACGTGAGTCCGTTCCTGGCGAGGCTGTCCCCGATGAAGTTCTGGACGATTCATCCGATCACCGTCGACCGCAAACCCGTCGTGATCGCCACCGTGGTCTGTATCTTCAGCACGATGATATACCTAGTCGCGTACATGATCGCAAGGAAAGTATTCCGCTGCTATCAACGCAAAAGCGCAGCCAAACACCGTCGCTCCAGCTGCTACAACGCGGCCGCTAAAGTCGAAGAGGATGAAGAGCAATTGACCTCCTTCGAGACAGCCACGGGCTCCGCGTTGAGCAAGCGCTACGGAGTCATCTCGGGCTACGACAACTACGTGTATCGAGACAACAAGCGCTACGCCTCCATCGACGCGGTCTACGGCAACGGGTACCTCATCGCGAACCGCAAGTTCCTCATCGCGACGGAAGATATAATGTCGCTCCTGGTCATGAAGATCACGAAGGCTCGCTTCACAAACCTCTACGTGTACACGATTCTGGCCGACGGAGGCGTGAACCAAACTGCGCAGCTCGTGTACCCCCAGACCCTCGCATGGTCGGATTTACTGCAACTAGACGTCATGAAACTTGGCTAACCACTAAGGAGAAAATATACTTCTTTTGATTTCATCCATTATCCGTATCTAGTACATGAGTGAGAGGAAGCAGGCCACGCCGGCCTTGATCCAGTAGTCCTGGTCAGCGAACTGTAGCTGCAGATTCGTCTCCGAAACCAGCGAGTTCCGGAAGATTGTCCGTTTGTCGGACGGAATCTCGATCCAGAAGACGAAGTTGGTCGAGTGGCCCGTTGTTGACAGCGTTCCTGTCCGCGTAAGGATCTTGTAGACTGGGCAGCGATAGATGCCGCTCTGCGGTGCTTGTCGGTCCTGGGTCGGCAGCAAATGCACTACCGGCATTCGAGCGAACAGCTCCTTCGGTAGTGGGTCCACGAGCGAGTGCGCTGCCTTATCCCAGCGCGCTCCTTCCAGGAAGAGCCCCGTCATGTAGCAGCCTCCCTTGGACGGCTTGTGTTTGATGCTCTCGGCCGCTTGGTCGTGCATGAGGAAGTCGAACGACAACGAGTCGATGGCCAGGCCAAACTGCCGCGCGTGGTTCTGGAGAATACCCGTCAGGAAACCCTGTGGGAAGAAGAACCCCGACAGCCAGAAGACCGGAGGAATGCCGTCGGCCACCCACGTCGTGAGGAAGCGCAGACGCTCCAGTAGATCGTCCACCCAGCCACCCAGAGCCTTCAACGACGGGTATGCCTTCTTCTCCCATTGTGGCGGCACCTTTTGGTTGAACAAGCAGGTGGCCATCGCTTCGAGCTCCGGTGACATGACGATGAGACCTCGTAAAGCACGTTGCAGACTTGGTAGAGAGACCTGGAGTACCCGGAGCAGTGCGTTGTAGCGCTGCACCTCTTGCACTAGCACTGTGTTCATCGATTCCTCGTACATGACAGGGTATCGCAGGCTGATGTGCTCGACCTCGAACAGCGGGGGCAGTCGATCGATGATGGATTGGGCCTGCTGCTCGATGAGACTTTCGCGTGACTGGCCGCCGGCACCTGCGGCTGCGCGGGGTTGCAGGGCCAAGATGATGTCAAACGTATGGAATGTTTCAGCCAGCGCGCACGTGATGTTGGCGTTGTCGTGCATCCCGAAGACCTCAGGCTCCGGGTTCAGCGGCAACTCGTCAATATAGCTGAGGTAACTTGAGAGCGGGTCGTCCGGGTCCGCTGTGAGCGAGAAGTACGAGCCACTGGACGAGAACTTGTAGCCGTCTTCCAGGATCTGCGGGTTGAAAAAGCCCTCGAGGATCACGTCGATCGTCCGCATATCCTTGTCGTCCGTCACGCGCCCGCCGTAGTTGACCACCGACGTCATGACGCACAAAACCTTGTACGGGACTTCGTCGTAGAAGTCCAGGAACATCTCAAGCTGAGCTCGGCTGATGTCGTAGTCTGTGTCGTTGAAGGCGTACGGGATATTCCAGCCCAGCGGCCCGAAGCGCTTGCGCTCAATTACAACCGCGTGGAAGAAGCTGAGCCCGAACAGCAACTTCCGGAACTGATCGGGCTTGGACGTAGCGTCCAGCGTATCGTTTGTGAGCTTGATATACGAGTTCCTTAAGTTGGCGCGGATGCCTTTGGGCGGTTCCTTAGTCATCTTCACCCCGTTCTGCAGCACTGAGGTGGGGAACGCTGTGCTGGGCTTGCTAGTTAGCCACAAGCGGAAGTCGCGGTGCGTTGCGTCAGGGTTCAACTCGTCACAGATGCGCTCGAGCTGCGGCATCCAACTGATGGCCAAGTGGCAGTTCTGTAGCAGCACCCACTTGCCGCTGGTCACGGCCTCCTCGATCATCTTGGAGGCCAGCGGACCTTGGCCTTGGCCCAACGAGATCGAGTTGAGCTTCCGATTCATCTTCATCGTCTCGGCGAACACGAGTAGCTCCTTGGCCGGGTCGGAACCCGTGGACAGCACGAAGATGATCGGCGTGATCACCGTTGAGTCAGCGAACGAGCCTGCGAGGTCGAACGGCGGTGGCTCGATAAACCGACGGCCGATATGCTCCGCCACGAAGTTCTGCATGGCCTCCGTCATGCGGTCGGGTCGTATGCAGCGTAAAACGCAGAGCTTCTGGAACGAATTGAGCGTCAGGTCTAACGCCAACGGTATCCGCTCAACCTGCGGATCCGCAGAATCGAAGATCTTCCTCCACTGCGGAGTGTTGTTGGCCATCGACGTGGCCAGCGTCTCGAAGGCTGGCAACGACGACAGTGCACACACTTCTCGCCACATTCGGTCTTCAATCCAATTTGTATCCGGGTTGGGCGCCTCGATGGAGCTAGAGGTCGAACCAGAGATCAAGAAGCGCCACTCGAGTAGATCTATCCGTCGAGAGCCCATCAGCAGCTTGATAGTGAGCAAGAAGGAGAACAGCAGCTTGTGCTCTTCAAAGAGTGACCGACAAATGTTCCTGTAGAGTGAGTACGTGGCCGAATCATTCAGGTGGGCCAGTCTCATCTCAAGCTGATCGCTCTCTGTGGCGCTGTGGATGCTCTTGATAAACAGCGATACGAACCACGGGAGCGAATACTGGTACATGGGGTCAACCAGGGACAGGTCTGCAATGCAGAAGAAGAGCAAGGACGCACGGAAAGCCACGCCTCGGTAGCGTTCGCGCGACTCATCAATCGCTTTTTCGGTGATCTCCGCCTCGGCCATCTTCTCGTTGATATCCTCAGACGTCACCTTGGCCTTCCCAAGTGTGTCGATCAGCTCGGTATCATCTAGAATGTTCCCCTTTGAGTTGGCCAGCATGTACAGAATCTTGTTCTCAATCTCCACCAGTTCAGCCTTCATGCGCGCATTGGCCACCACGAGCGAGTTTTTCTTCTCGGCCAGCTCCGGCATCTCTTCCTGCACTACAACACCCAAGGCTTGATCTTCTAGTCCCTTAGGCGTAATGGTGAAGTTGAGTAGAGTCACTTTGACTGACGTCTCCGGTGGGTAGTGCGGGTTGGGCAGCTTTGTGGTCATGTAGAAGCGGAAAGCCGGATTGTAGGGCACGGTCGAGTCGCCTAGCTTCATGACAACTTGGCCGCCTTGACGGAACTTGTTCTGGAGCAACACCGGCTCCAGCGTCGCGTCTAGACTTTCTCCGACATTCTCCAGTAGAATCCATTTGCCAAAGCGAATGCCGTTCTCCAGCGTCTTTAAGAACCCCTTATCCGTCAACTTGACCACGTCCAGGCCGTTTTCTGATGAGTCCTTGCCCAAGTTCTTGATGAATCTGTTGGCCTGGCCTTGCGGATCAATCAGCAGCGACCATCGTCTTGCACGGGCCATGATGAGGCCATTCTGTACTGACAGGTTGTCCGACGGTAGGCCCGCGATCTGCCACCCACGCACCTTCACCGGGTCGGCCAGCGTTGTGATGATGTTGCAGCCTCGGGTGTGTGGGAGCTGGAGCTTCTCCAATGCCGAGTACCAAGTGGCCACGCAAGATTCACGGAACTCACTGGTGAAGGTGCCTAGATAGCTGATCGTGGCCGCAGAGATCACCACATCGCCCACCAAGTTGGTGTAGTCCAGATTCAACTGGCGGATTGTGGCCGCCCATCGACTCTCCTCGCCACCAAGCAGGCCAATGAGCTTCAGCGCGGACTCGAGACGGATCTCACACTGCCGTACGTCCCGTACTAGCTGATCTTTCTTGTCCACTGCGTTGTTGTAGTTGCGTTCGAGCTCCGCCAGTCGCTCGACAACGGCTTGGAGTCGCGCCTTGGCATCGGCCAGCACCCGCATTGTGACGTCCAGTTCTGCTTGGGCCGCAGCGAGGACGATCTTCTTGGGCTCCACCATCTTGGCCACGTTGTGGTACGTGTGCATGGCCCGCACCCACATGCAGATGGCCTCGCAGGCCACACTGGCCTTCCTCACTGCTGCGGGGGAGAACTCCTCCATCTCGATGTACCGGTCCAGCTCCTGGATGATCTTGTCGCCGATATTATCCTTGTCGAACTTGACCATGTCCTCCATCAGCTTCTTGGCGTTACCCAGAATGGTCTTCTGCGCGCTCTCCCAGTAGTCCTTTACCTTTTGGCCTGCCTTGTCAGGGTCGGCCTTCATGGTAGGTTTGATGCCGAAGATGATACACGCAGCCTCCATGGTCAGCTTAACACCGTGCGGCGGGTTCTTCAGCGCCTTGACCTCATCGATATCAGACTTCTTGAGCTTGTTCAGACACTGCACAGCCGCTTCAAGAGCCGGCAACGCCTCATCCAGATCGCGTTGTGCATCATCGGCGATCTCCTTGGTCTCGGCGGCCTTTTTGTTGGCGATCTGCTCTTCCTTCTCGACGACGGCCTTCGTCTCGTCGGCGTCTTTCTTGTCGAGCGTGATCTGCTTCATCATCTCCTCCACCTCGATCTGCGTCTTCTCCAGCTGGGGCTTGAGGGCCACGAGCTGCTCCTGCATGCCGGCCACCTGCTCCTTCGTGGCAATGATCTTGTCCACACCATTCTGCAGGCGTGAGCGCTTGGACTGCACCTCCTCCCGTTTCAACAGCAACACGGTCTTGAACGTATGCAGCAACTCCAGATAACTCGTGGGAGTCACATAGTTATACCTTCGCAGCTTCTCAAAGAACTCCACAGACTCGCGTTCAACACTCTGGTGGATGGTCTGGAAGATGCTGACCACAGACTTCGCCGCTGCAGCTTTGGCCGCCTTGGCCTCCGTTGATTCTTCCTCGGCCGCAGGTGTCGTCGGCTCTCCTGATAGTTGGAAGTCCCCAGAGGATAGGGCGCTAGCAGCCACGGACTGCAGCGCCTCGGCCGGCCACTCGCTGAACCAGTCAATGGTGCAGCAGTTCACCAGCGAGGGGAACATACGAATGCGGTCTCGGAACAAGCTTCCCAGCGGACTCATACAGAGCACGAGGTGCAGGTTCTGACGCACCAAAAGGATATACTGAGCGAACGTGTTCAGCTTGGTTGGAGGGATCCTCTTCTTCACGCAGTAGGGGCGGCAGTGCTGGCTGATCTGGTCCAGATCTTCTGCCGCGTACAGGTTCGGAACATCACCCGAGTTCAGTACGTTGTTGATATCTTCCAGCATGGCTTCGTGTACGATCTGCACGTCGGAGAAGAGGAAGACGAGGGGCTTCTCATCGATACCAGCCTTCATCAAACATTTCTTGAGGTCGTCTCGCCATTCCGCCACTCCGTAGCCCTTCGAGATCTCGATCTGAGTGCACGCGTACTCCGCCATGTACGCAGCTAGTCGAGTCAGTGACTGTCGACCGCTGCCGCCCACACCCAGTAGCAAGGCGTTGCCCTGCGGCTGTCGGATCACTCGAGCGATGCGTGACACGTGCTCAATGGCGTTCATGAACAGCACGAGGTTCATCGGAGCGCTGCTCTCAGCGTTGTAGTCGTTCAGATACTCTTCCACCTGAGCTTGGAGCTTCTCAACGTCCGCGATCTCCTCGTAGATCTTCGGGTCTGCTCCTGGCACCATGTAGTCGCCGTAGAACAGCGTGGGTGTCGGGTGCACGAGGTCCCACGCCGCTTTCTTCGCAGCATCGGAGCCTGTCGACGCCCCCTGAATCCCCAGCGACTCACCGAAGACTGTAGCGACCTGAGTCTGGAGCAGATCGATGAACCACTGGTGGTCGCTCGGCGTAGTGAAGCGATCCTTGAACACGCGCATGTTCTCGTGGACCCAGAGCCGCAGCATTTGCTCGAGCTTGGCGATACGCTTCGAATCGCCCATGAGAACCCCCTGGAAAACCTTGGCCAGGTCTCGCAAGTTGAACGTGTAGTGAGACTTGGCCGGCGTAGGCAGCAGCTCCGCAATGACGGTGTTGTAGATGACAATGGACGCTTGTACCAGCTTCTTCGCTATCTGCGGGGGCCGGATCTCCTCTGAGAAACGGCTGAAGAAGTTGCCCACGATCGTCTCGAACACGATGGCCTTGCTCTCGTTGGACATCTCCGTGTACCCGACGATGTTGAAGTGGCGGACGAAGCGCTGCGTGATCGGGTTGCGGCCACCTCCGGGCGGGCCCATGGAGCACACGAACACGACGTCGATGATCGTGCGGAACGTGAGCAGCTTGCGATCGTACCAGCCTCCTTGGTCGAACCACTGGCGCAAGATCTCAATCGGCGGCTGGGCGAAGTACTCCTCCTGCTTGGGCATGTTGAGGTCGTCCACGTAGATGATGAACTTCTTGCCGGCGGTGGGGCCAAAGACGCCCTTCCTCCGCTTCTCCATCTTGGAATCAATGAAGTCCTGTGTCTGGTTGGCACTGCTCTGAGCTGAGAAGGCCATGTTCAACGGGATGAACTTGTCCGGGTTGGACTTCACCAGGAACTGGTTCACGTTGATGGTCTTGCCCGTCCCCGTTGGTCCCACAATCAGCATGTGCACGCCCAGAGGTAGCGTCAAGTTCATCAAGAAGGTCGAGCGAACGGAGTCGCTGGTAGGCACCACTAACTCCGAGAACGAAGCCGAGGCGTCGATAGTGAACGTGGGGATAGTCTGCAGCCATGGCACCCATGTCTCTTTGGCCAGGTCGAACGAGTAGTCGTACACTTGGCCCGCAGCTGGGAAGGGCTTCTTGACGTTGTTGCCGATGATTTCTTCGCGGAGGTAGACGTCGAAGCGGTCGCGGCCTGCGTCGTTGCCCGTTGCACCAACGGACCAAATGAGCGAGAAGAGGAAGAGACTCTCGACGTTCCTCAGGTAGAACGTCACTTTCTCCAGCTTCACCTCCTTCTTTTCGTCTCCTTGCATCGGGAAGAAGAAACAGTCGAGCAATCGTAGCAAGCTCTGCACCAGATTGGACGGGATCTGAGGCAGCCACTCCTTGACGTAGCTGGTGACGAACTGCAGAGCTGGCCGCAAGTACACGTCGAGCAAATGATGCAGTTGTAAGCACAGCTCAACTACGGGTGGGGCACTGCCTATGCCGATCTCTCGAACAAGTTTCTCGAGCCAGCTCATGACGAGGGGGTCGAAGCCCAAGGAGCTCGGCTCCATGTACACCATACCTGTCCGACTGACGGTGGCCGGAGACGCCACGGACAGATCCTCCACCTCGAACATCATGGTCATCTCGTTGGACATCTGGATGATCTCTCCGCTGGCCAGGCACAGCTTCTTGTTGTCGTCCAGCACCGTGTTCATGTTCTCGATCCAGATTGCGTCCACGGGGCCATCGAAGATCACCCACTTGCGGTCCGACTTGGTGTCGCTGGCCGCTTCACGATACAAAGTGGACAAGACGCCGTCCTGCCACTCGTGTGTGTTAGCGTCGAATTCGCCGTAAAGCTGACCCATGGTGATCGACTTTGGGTTGAGCTGGTAGCGTATGACCCGCTCATACGCGTGGCCGATCTCACCAAGCTGCTTTAGCTCCGTGAGAGCGTCGGCTAGAACGTTCAAGTTCGCGGATTTGCCGCCTCCTGTAGACCCGACAACCATAAGCCCGTGACGCACACAGAGCGTCTCGTATAGCTGCACGACCTTCATGAGGAAGAACGGATGCACCTGCAAGTGCTGCTTCTCGATGGTCAGCTTGATCACGCGGATGAGCGCTCCAAGGTTGAGCTGTGGCCGGCTTTTCCCCGGGAACAGGTCACTGATAATACCGCCGAACAACGGAATGTCGTGGGCCAGGAACTTGGGCAGATTCACGTCCTGCAGCGCACGTAGCAGCAACACCTCTTCGTCCATATCTGGGTCTGATCTCTTGTAGTTACCAGCTGCAGTGATGACCGTCTTGACAGCGCGCATGCCGTAGTCGTAGTGAGACTGGGACGACAGCATCTCCGAGCACAGTTTGAATGTCGTGACCATCTTCGCGCCGCACTGTTTGGCCTTCTCGTAGCCATACGCGAAAAACATGATCTCTCCGATCATGGCGTAGTCCGGCACCATCATGGCCACGGGCCGGAACAGCGCGGCCAGCGAGTCGGGCAGATCGGAGCGGCCCGCGTAACCTGGATTCATTGTGATGAACACGCCAAACTGAGGATTCACTGCGATATCCGAGCCCTCAAACACGATGCGTTTGTCTCCTGCGCGGATGGCCAGCTGCAACGTCGTAACTTGCTGACCGATCACGGACAACACCTCGATATTGATGCGGTTGAACTCGTCGAAGCATGCCCAGGCACCACACGCAGCTAGGCCCTTAAAGAACTTGCCCATGGCGATGTAGTCCAGTCCGTCGGAGCAGTTGAACACCACGCACTGTTTAGCCAGAGCTTTGGCCAGATCCTTCGTCGTCTCGGTCTTACCTGTTCCGGCCGGCCCGGCAGGAGCTCCACCGAGCGTCATCTGCAGTGCTGCCATCAATGTCATGTAACACTTGTCCGTCAACGGCGTGATCACCAACCGGAACGAGTTGCCGAGATACTCGTAGCCGTATGGCCGACGGGCAGACACCATGTCGGCAAACAGATCGTCTTCCCAGTAGTACCGTAGCTGGCTGGACCACATGAAGTCGTCCTTGGAGCTCACTTTGTTGTTCACGAGCCGCATCGTCACGTCTCGAGCGTGGACGTCAATCACGGCCAAGGCTCCTACACTCACGCGCGCCAGTTTATCAAGATGGCCGCGCACCATCTGCACCATATCCGCGAGCTGCGCTAGCTGTCGCTCCATCATCCGCTTCACGCCGTCACTGCCCGACGCGGCCATCTCCTCCTCCATCTCACGCGTCCAGTGGAACTGACTGCCGTTCAATACGCACATGCCGGGCCACTTCTGGATCCACTTGGTCCGCGAGATTTTGGTGTAATCCTGGATGGCCTGGTACATGACGTCGCGGATCGACACTCGCATCATGTCCTCCACCTCCGTCATCCAGTGCTCGACGTTCTTGCCCACGGGGTTCACGGGCTTCGACATGGCCACCTTCTCGCCTTCAGCCGAGATCATGGCCGTGATCGTCAGGTCCTCCTGGAACTCCACCGACACGATGCCTTCAAAGCACTTCTTCAGATGAGGCTGCACTAACTTGACGTCCTTACTCTCGGAAAGGATCGACAGCAGCTCCTCGTTTGACAGGAAGTAAAACCGACTGAAGGCCGAGCGCTTCGTCTCGAGGAAGTCGCTCAATCCCTTCTGCACCTGCTCCAGGAACCGGTTGCTCTCCTGGAAGCGGTCCAGTAGCTTGTCATTATTGCAGAACGTGATGGCGCTGGGCTTCTGCTTGGCCGCAGCGAGCGTCTGGCGCCAGTTCTTGTCCACAGTAGCAAACCGCTTGCCTTCAGTGGGGAGCTGCTTGTTGATGTCGGGCGAGTCGAAGATGGGCTGGAGGTAGAGCCAACTACGCTGCACCTGGATCCACTCGTCCAACACGTCAGACACTGTGCTAAGCGTGCGTTCCCACCGGTTGATCCGCTCCTCGAACGGCTTCTTGAAGGCAGAGAACTGCATGGCCTGGGTGGTAGTGATCTGTTCATCGAGCAGAGCTTGGATCTCGTCCACGCCTTTCAGCACATACGTCTCCGTCTCGCGATAGTCGACAATGGTCAAGTTCACGCCGGACCACTGTTCCTCCATCAAGTTGAGCGTCTTCTCTATCTGGTACTCTTTGCCGGCCGTCTCACCGATGCGTGAGATTGCGTCAATGTGCTTCTCCAGGCCCAGGCCGAGCACGTAGCTCAGCTTCATCCCTCGATCAGGCCGGAACGTCATACCAATCTCCTGGTTGATCTGACTCCAGTGGCGGTCATGCATGCCCGGGTTCCGCATGGACAAGATGAGCGGGACATGCGGCCTGAAGGCTGCGATGTCGTCTTTGATAGTCGACGCGATGCTGGAACAGCCCTTCACATTGAGCTTCTCGAACTGCTTGAGCGCCTTCTGGATGGACGACCAATTGGCCTCGACGAACGTCTCGATCTCCTCGCCGTTGATGTCCAGGAACGCGCCTTCCATCCACTTCTTGTGCTCTCGGAGCCAGTTGTTGGCCGTCTTCCACAGCAGCGAGTACGGCTCGAAGTCGCGGCGGATCTTCTGGATCTCGTCGTAGTCCGTGATCTCCTGGCCGAACAAAGACTCGCGCGAGTTGAAGAGCTTGGAGTCCTCGTCCGCCTTGGCGATCTTCTGCTCGATGTTCACTACGTACTTGTACACTTGATCCAAGCGGGCCACATCCGTGTACTGCCGGAAGCCGTCTACCTCGCTGTGCAGAATCCGCAGCGACTCGGCGAACTCGGCTTGTTGCTCGTTCATCTCGGTCGAGAATTGGGTCTTCTGCATCTGCAGCATGTGCGTCATGCGCTTCATCTGCTCGTTGATCTTGTTGGGACAGAGCCGCACCTTCCAGATCGTCATGAAGTCGTCGCGGTCGTACGGGTACTGGAAATGGTCGAGCACGAGGCGGTACTTGATAAGCTGTTGGCTCTGAGTCATCAGTGGCGCGATTTGCGCGGGCACGCCTTCCAAGTACGCGTTCATCTCGGTCAGCTCCTCGATGTTCTGCGGCGTCTTCTGCAGTTGGCGGTTGACCATCTCGAACTTCTCCAGCAGCTCCTTGGCCAGGCCCGTCGAGTTCTTGAGCTGCAAGTCCAGCAGCTTCTTGGCCAGACGTCGGTGCTTCTCCGCTAGCAGCGTGCGGATGCTCAAGCAGTTGACCGAGTACATCCCCAGCTCGACATTCGTGGTCGGGATCAGATCCTCCACTGTGTTTGCGTCCTGGTAGTGCTTTTTGATGGCTTCCTGGATCATTGAGAGGTTGGGAGGCTGCTGTGCTTGGAATTCCGCGAGGTACTCCTCCTCTTTGACGTTGATGAACGGGATGTACATCTCGTAGCACTGCAGATAAGCGCGTAGTGGGGTTGCAGCTTTATCCATCAGCGCGTCGATACTCTCACGCAAAGCGATTGCCCAGTCCTCGTTCGCACTGACACAGGAGAGACACGGCATGCTGCTCCAAAAGAGCTTGCTCATGACCATCTGCTCCACCTGCTTGATGTTCTTAAGGTTCTCGAGCATCTTCATGAAGATATCCAGCACGGCCGTCTTAAAAGTCGCGATGTTGGTGCTGAAGGAGAAGATGTGGCCAAGTTTCGGGTCGATGAGGCGGTGGGGATTCTCCTCCGAGGTGTCATCCGGGTCTTTCGGCCGCCAACTAGCCACTCTCTGAGCGGCAGCGTTCACTTCGCGTTGGTTTATCACATAGAGCTCCGTCGATACGCTCAAATTGACTGTAAACAATGAGGTCGGTGAGAGAAGCTGCCTCTCTAAGCACATGTGCTGCCACTTGATATCCCCGAGCTTATTGCGGTTCAAGTCCGGGTACCCTACGAACGCGGTCTTGGCGTCAACGATGTGCACGTCTCCTATTGTCGCGTTCTTGATAAAGTCGTGGAACTGATGTAGCGAATGGTCCGTTAGATAGCGGAGCGTGTCCTTCATCGAGAAATTCATTCGTCGTAGCAGAGACCGCAGCTTGCTGAACTCGTACGTGTCTTGCCGCGTCTCCTGCAGGTAGTACCAGCCTTTGCCCACATTCCCCAGCGAGGCTTTGATGATCGACGCGACTTTGACCGGCCACTCCTCCGTGATCGTCTTGAGCACGGCGCGTTCGAGTGCCTGTTGTCGCTGCTGGAACTCCTCGAGTTTGACACTTCGCCCGGGCTTCACGCTGAAGAGCTCGAGCTGTAAGATCCGACAGCACTCTTCGTTAACCTTAATCAGAGCTGAGAGAGCTTCGGGGGACGTCAAGAAGGTTTGGAACGAGAACCCAATGAACTGGTCTGCGTAGTCGACGGGGGGAGCGATGGTCCTCTTGGACTTGTTCGGGAAAGGCACGACTACTCTGGAGCACGGCTCAGCTGGAGTTTCCTCCTCTTTGGACAGAAACCCACGGAAAATATCCGAGTTCCGACCCATTTCCTGGTGCGACTCGAAGACGATGCGGCTCATGGTCCGCAAGTAGTTGAGCTGGATCTCGTGCACAATTCGAGTCGTATCTGGGATGCGAAGGCTCTTGCCGTGAAACACCGCCGTCGCTAGTCGAACGATCTTCCCCAGACTCGCGTTTCCGAGCTTGTGTAGCTCCTCCAGGGGCATACAATCAATGTAGAAATTCTTCCGCAGTAAATTCTGCGCTTGGACTCGAGCGAGTTGCGCCGCTAGATACCGATCGGCAAAGTTGCTCGGGTCTTCCGACTTGAAGCACACGTCCAGTCGTCTGCACTCCTTGGTCTCTGCCTTGCCATTGCGCTGGAACTCCACCGAGAAGAGCTGCGTTTCGGCCTTGTATCCGATAACATATGCCTCGAGCCAACCGTTAACAGCACCTCGAACGTTGTAATACGCTGCGGTGGCTGGGATCCGCACGCTCCCATTGCTCCTGCAACCTAACCGGATCCAATCCTCTGGGTCGTGGATCTCGTAGCTCTCGTCGTCGAACAGGTGGAGGTCCAAGTTGTCGATGATGGACTTCGCGGCGCCGCTGTTGTCCATCTCGACTTTCTGGTACACGGGGGAGCTGTAGAACTCGGCCATCCGCTCCTTCAGCAACGCGCCGACGTCTACAGACTCATACAGCCGCTTCTTGCGTTCCACCTCCACCTTACGCGGGGGTAGATCGGGAACTCGCTCGTACGGTACAAACACTTTGGGCTCCACTTCTCCGTCCTCCATCTCAGCAGGATCCACCGTAGCAATGACATGGCCTCCGTCGACTGAAAACCCTGTAGGCAGCTGCACGAACGATGCGGGCGAACTGATGCGCGACGAGTCCTTGATGACGGCTTTCCGTGTGGGCGAGTCGCGAGGAGCTACCGTCGGCTCGAAGTTGACGATCCTCACCGGCACCCGCGCGGCCTCTTTCGATGGACTCGTGGACGGCGCCAGACGAACGCCATTCGCATTCTACACACGCAAAAGCAGCAGTCAAATGTGAGACCTTGAAACCCTCTCAGCCTAGAACAACAGACACGTACATTTTTGTCGACCGGCATGCTGGCCACGCCGTCCAGCCGCGGTGGTGATCTCCTGCCCCTGGTCGTGAATGGGCGCCGTCCTCAAAGCGCCGCGACAGACCTAAGTAAAATAAAACGACAGGAGGTGACTGTTGCAATGATCGCTCTATTGTTGCTTCAACGCTGGCAACGAGTACGATTTGGCCATGCCGCCATCGTCCTTGGCCTCGTCCGTGGCCCAGCCTTGCAGGTTCTCGGCCGGTGTCTCGGGCGACTTCATCCGACTGCTCTCAGATGGGGAGGACAGCAGCACTGTCCCTCCTGCGGTCGAGTCATTGTTGATATCGAACGCGGACCTGGAACTCAGCGGCGTCGTCAGCGAGTCCTTGCGGAACGAAGTCATGGGCGAGCTGGGCGTCGGCGCCTTCGGTAGTCGGAACCCAGCTCGGAGCACGTAGCTGGAGCCTGGCGTGAAGGCCGAGCGAGACATCGGAGCCTCCTCTGGCAGTCCCGAGGCCGTGACGGACATTGCGTCGCGGCCCGTTTTCCGGCGAGAGGCCTTGCTGGCCGACGAGAGGCCCACGAGCCGCGTCGTCTCCAGGAACTCGCCGCCGGTGGATACCGTGTCGTCGTGGCCGTTGTTCCGGTGTCTGCTGTCGCCCATCAGAGTGCGGCGCTTCATGCTGGCGGCCATCATGTTGTTGATTGTGTCGATGTAGAGCTCGCGCCGGTCCAGCGTGCTCTTGTCGAACTGCTCGCCGATGTTCTTGTTGTTCATGATCTTGGTGTGGATCTTGACGCGGATCTTCTCCATGATGCCGGCCTGCTGGTCCAGCATGTCCTCGTCCATCGTGTGCTGGTTGCGGACCTCCTTGTTGCAGCCGGTCTGCAGGATCTCGTACTCGGCCCGGGCCACCATCAAGTCGGCGATGAATTGGCAGTCGCGCACCAGCAGCTGCTGCTGCCGCTCGTTAAAGAGCTTCCTGCCTCCCGCGTTGTTGTCGGACGGGCGCGCGCTGTGCTTGCTGCTGGACCGCGCCGACGTCTCGAACTTCCAGCACTCGGACACGAAGTTCTCACACACGCGGTCGATCTCGCGGTTCATGTCGGCCAGGTCCATGTTGCGGATCGAAGAGCGGGCCACCACATCCGCGAAATGCTCCTGCTTCTGCTGGAACGAGGCGTACAGCGCCTCCACGCGGTCGGACTCCTTGTCTACAATGGCCACGAGCTTCGCGGTCGCAGCTTGAATCTCCGCTCGGTTTTCCGCTTGGAGGGCCATCATCTGAGTCTCGGCCGAGTCCTGTCGAGCTATGATCTCCTCCTTAGCAACGTGTAGGCTGTCCAAGGACGAGTTGATGGCCTGGTTCTCGTGGTACTGGTTCTTGAAGTTCCTATCCACTTCGCGCTGCGTCTCCTCAATTTCTCGCTTGTGGGCCGACGTCACCTCTTCGAAGTGGAAAAGTTGGTTCTTCACCATGGCTAGCTCGTTGTCCATCGCTTGAGTGAGCTTTTCGTGGTCGGATCGGAGGTTGAGCGTTGACGTCTGCAGGCCATTGAGGGAGCGGTCCGTCAAGTCCTTGTAGTTGTTCACCTCGTTCGTCAACTTCTCTGCGTTATCGATTGTGCGCTGCAACGTGTACGAGAGATGGATACTCTCCTCTGAGAGATTGCTCAAGCTCTGCTGGATGCGGTCGATGGAGTCGAAGGCCTGCGAAAACTGCATCTTGTTGTGATCATCGGTTGCAAACGTCTGCTTCTGGATCGCCGCAATCTTCCTTACGCTGTCAGTGGCAGTGAGCGCGACCATGTCGAGCTTGGACGCCACCGCCTTGATCTCGCCATCGAGGTTCAGGCTCACCAAGTCATTCACGACAGTCTGGACGGCGACGACTTCGGCACGCACTATCGCCACGCTCTCGGTTATCTTCTCCACCATACGATTCTCCATGTACGTCTTCAGTTCTTCATGGGCCTTGAACGCCTTGGCCATCTCAGCAGAGAGGTGCATGACAAGCTTCTGCGTCTCCTCGAAGCCTGTCGCCTTCTCTTCCAGCGCAGCCACCGCCGACATGTTCACTTCCAGGTTCGTTGTGGTCTCCATCAGCGACGTCTTGACACCTTCAAGCCGCTCTTCCATGTCGTCCTGCTTCCTGCCGTACTCCATAATGATCTCTTCCGTGCGGCCCTGCTTTCTGGCCAGTAGCTCCATCATCTCGGCGTTCGAGCTATTGATGTCCTCCTGGTCTGACCGTGAGGCGAGCATATCTTCCATGAGTTTGTTCGATCTCGCGTCCACCTCGTCGAGCATGCGCTGACGGTCGATCTTCATCTGCTGGCCGATCCTCTGCTCCGCATTAATGAGATCGTTCCTGGTTACGCACGCGCGCAGGTTCTCGTTGAGCTTATCCATCTGCGTTTGCACGACGCCTTCGTGCTTCTCGTTGCGCGCCTTGATGACAGCGTCACGACGCTTGATCTCAGACTGTAACCGCGTCACGGTGTCCTTGGCCTCTTGGAAAGCTTGCTTCAACGAGGAGAAATCGTTCGTTTGGCGATGCACAAAGTCCCATAGAGGCTTGACCAGGGTCTCCACGTATTGAGCGGAAACACCACTTGTAACTGGCCTGACGCTTTCACCTGCTGGCTGCACCAAGGCTGCAGTCTCTCCGGCGGCAGCAAAGGCGTCGGACATATCCTTGGAGGACGGCATCGTCATCAACGAGCGGGTTGGCGAAGTCGATGGTGCTGCCTGGGCCCGTTGCCGGCCGATTGACTGTCGATGGTGCGGTGTCGGGTTGTACGCCGGCGAGGAAGAGCCACTGCCCGAGCTGGACGCGTTGAGCAGCATTTCATGGCGCAAGTCCAGCACCTCCTTCTGCAACGACGCCACTTGATCCCGCAATGTTTGGCACTCGACAACTGCATCCACATTGCTGGCCACTTCGGCCAGAGCTTTGATTAGCCATGAGGGCAACGCAGCTCCACTCAGCAGCTCATTCTTCTCCAGAGCCTTGACCTGCGCACGCAGACTTGTAATGACATTCACAAGTGACTCGTCGTCCAGCAGCAAATCGGGCGTGGTGCGCCACGCTAGACGCGTCCCGTTCCCGCCCGCCGCCTCCATGGCGAACACCACGAGATGCAGGAAGCTAGCGGTATGCACTTCAGTGCACAGCCACTATTCTTGGCGGCTAGACAGACAACAAACAATCACCGCATTAAGACAGCTCATCTTTTTCGGGATCGGCGCGTAATGTGCAGCTATGCTTCAACTTGTGGTCTGCTTCTCCGATCTGCTAGCACACTCAAGCTTCATGGAGGTTAGTCGGAAAGCACAACACACAATGACATTGCGATACCTTCATTTCTGTTGTCATACAGTACAGTTGTCGCCGAGCCGCTGGTCAGGCGAGTTACACAAGCGGAGAAGACTCCCATACGCCCTACCTCTCTCTGTCTGTACACCTCCCTCCCTTCGGCCTTGCTCTGGTTCAGCTGCACTGGGTGTCGCCCTGTATGGTACTTATTTGATAGGCTTGCGGTCGAGGGGCTCGCCCTTGAGGATCTTGTCGATTTCAGCACCCGACAGCGTCTCGTACTCTAGCAATGCCTGGGCCAACTTCTCCAGATCCGCGTGCTTGCTCACAAGGATGTCCTTCGCGCGCTTGTACGACGCGTCACAAAGCTTCTTCACTTCGTCGTCGATGGTCTTGCGAGTAGTAGCGCTCGTGTCGTTGCCGCGCAGGTCGTGGAACACCAGACCCACGTCCGCGCTCATGCCGTACTTTGTAACCATTGTGCGCGCAACGTTGGTGGCTTGCTGGATGTCGGACGACGCGCCGCCCGTGATCTCGTCCTCACCGAACGTCAGCTCCTCGGCCACACGACCGCCCATGCACACATCCAGACGCGCCAGCAACTGCTTGCGCGAAATGGACGTCTGATCGCCCTCCGGCAGTTGTGATACCATTCCCAGCGCCTGTCCGCGAGGCATGATGGTAGCCTTGTACACGGGGTGAGCTCCAGGGGTGTTGATCGCCACCAGTGCGTGACCGCCCTCGTGGTAAGCAGTGAGCTTAGCCGACTCGGGTGTGATCACCGCTGACTTGCGCTCTGCTCCCATCAAGATCTTGTCCTTGGCGTACTCGAACGCGTCCATGTCAACCACGTCGGCACTCTTCATCGACGCGCGGAGTGCGGCCTCGTTCACCAAGTTGGAAAGCTCTGCGCCCGACATGCCCGGCGTGGCGCGAGCCAGCACGTCCAGGTCCACATCCTCACTGATTGGGATTTTGCCAGCGTAGAACTCGAGGATCTCCTTGCGGCCGGCCACGTCAGGAAGGTCCACCGTCACGTGACGGTCAAAACGTCCCGGTCGGATCAACGCGTTGTCCAGCACGTCGGGGAAGTTCGTCGCGCCGATGACGATAATGCCCTTGTTCTGATCGAAGCCGTCCATCTCCACCAGCAGCTGGTTCAGCGTCATCTTCATGGCCTGCTGCTCCTTGAGCTTGCGCGTCCCGCCGATAGCGTCAATCTCGTCGATGAAGATGATGCACGGCGCCTTCCGCTTGGCCGACTCGAACAGGTCGCGCACACGTCGCGCGCCGACGCCAACGTACATCTCCTCGAACTCGGAGCCCGACGAGTAGAAGAAGGGCACGCCGGCCTCACCAGCGATGGCGCGGGCGAGCAACGTCTTGCCCGTACCGGGCGGACCAGTCAGCAGCACACCCTTCGGCAGGTTGCCGCCCAGGCGCGTGAAACGGGCAGGGTCCCTCAGGAACTGGACGATCTCTTCCAACTCGTGTTTGGCCTCGGTAGCTCCCTTGACGTCGCTGAAGCGCTTGTCGCTGCCCGTGGGGCCCATGACCTTGGAGGCCGAGCCGATCTTGCCCACCTTCTCGTCCAGCATGGCGCCGAGCGCTGAGACCACGAGGAAGGCCACGCCCAACGTGCGCAGCGTCTTCCACATGTTGCTCTTGAAGCTGCCCTCCACCATGGACACGTACATGGGGTCGTGGGCCGACTGACCCTGGCCACCGCGGGCCACAGCAGGGCCGGCACCGGCCGCGGCCAGGCCGCCGAGCTGTCGGCCGGCGTAGGCGTCGGCCCCGGCGTTGGCCAGCTGCGGCAGGTCCACCGTGTCGAGGCGGCCCGTCTTGACCAGCGCCTTGATGTACTCCTTCTGGCCGGCGTCGTCCAGCGCGAAGCGGTTCTCCTCCACGCGGCGCACGACCAGCGCCGGGTAGTTGTTGCGGTTGAGCTCCTGCAGGAAGCGCAGCTGCGCGTACGGGTCCTCGGGGCTGGAGTTGGCCGCCTGCTCCAGCGACTTGAGCTGCTTCAGCTTGCCGCGGCCTGTCATGTTGAACAGCGAGCGCTTGGCGCCCGCGGCGGATGGCGGCGGCCGCACGGCGGCCAAAGCGAGAGGCTGCGGACACAGAGCACGCGCGTGGTTAGTGTCTCTCTCACGGACGTCTGACAACTACCTTAGATACGGCCGGGCCGGCCACGTACGTTGCTGGTCAGCGCGCGCGCAGGAGCGAGGGCGTGGGCGCGCGCGGCGGCGCGCTGGAACAGCTGCAGGCGGGGCCGCATCACGAGCATGTCGGCGATCTAGGTAGCGGCGGCGGTGGAGCCTTCCCTTCCCTTGCGCTTCAGTAGCTCGGCGTCTAAATGGGCGATGGAGCCTTATATGACCGGCCCACAAACGGGAGGACAAAACGTTTGCTTGATTTCAGTATAGTGTACCGCAATTTTGGATCGCCAAGACACAAAACTGAGCTGTAATTTACTAAGCTCAAGTGAAGTTTAGGTTTTGCAAGTCCACACGCTTTTGGTCGGACATGAACACCATGATCACGCTTGCAAGGGGTCTAAAACTACATTGTCCATCTTTCCTGCCCTATTTTATCTGTTCCAACACCAAACTATTCGAGGCGACTTTAGTTGTTAGTGCTGCGTGAAGTCGACATGTATTTTGCGTAAGTTGTGCCCAAAGGCTCGAGTATATTCGATGACGACTTCAACTTGTCTGTCTGTGTGGCTGTTGAATGCCAAACCATGGTATCCTGATAGTGAAGACCGCTTTGGCCATCAGATGTAAGCTTATGGCTCACTGAATTCCGAGTGTGCAACGAGAGACCCGGCTTGGCTCCAGACTTCGCCCGCCGCTTGCGTGGGCACAATGGTCTGCACACCCTCGCACTCCATAGCACTGCGCATTTTGCCATGGCACCGGCAAGTGCGTCCCGGAAAGGTGCCTCCATCGCCTCATAAGCGGACGACGACACGCTGTAGCAACCCTTCGCCGCCGAGCCGGATCTGCCCGAGGGGCTCTGCAGCGGCGCCGTCAAGTGCTCATGGAATATCCTCCCGAGCCAGAGCACGGCAGCAGGGTCAACCACGAGGGCGTGGGGCTGTACGAGGACTGCTTCACCTACGTGAGCCCACTTGTGCGCTCCCTGGGTGGTCATCAAGGAGGTCATGGGTCTGCTCCACGGTCGCCATGGTGATCGCAACACTGTGGTGCGGACCTTCTTCCACGGCGAGTTTCTGCTCCAGCTGGAGGACGGCAGCTACAAGGTGATGAACGGCGTCCCCGTCCCCACCGGAAACAACGTGTTCCTGCGGTTCTCCCAAATGCTGCACAACTACATCTTGTTCGGATGTGTCCTCAACGTCTTCAAGGCGAGACAGTTGCAGCTCCTCGACGACTACAAGCAAGGCACCAATCCTGCCCGTGAAGAGTGGCCCGAGCAGCAGCGAGACCCGAGGATGATTTACGGCGAAGCACCGGACGTACCAGGCGTATACAAAGTGGATCTGCAATCCAAGCGGAACTCCACGGGAGGGAAGTTCGTGGCACGGCTCGGTGTGAGTGAATCATCCGGCAGGCGAAACAATCCCAACGCTCCGATTGTATGGGGTCGAAGGGGATGGTGGAGTACACGTGGACACTACCGACAGAGGCGAAGCATTCCGAGGACGCTGAGAACGACCTGATGTACATGGTGTGGAAGACTGGGTTCACCTGCATCGACTCGGAGGAGGGGGGAGCTCATCCGGTTCCGACGACAGTGCGTGATCCACGACATATTCCTGCTGATCGGCTCGATCTACCCAGACCCGCGCAACGCAAGCTCCCTCTACCTACTCCCACGGTCATTACATTCATGTTAGCTGTGTAGCAGCAAGCCCAAATAACTCGAGTTTCTGCTTCATTCATTTTAGTCAATGCACGGTTCACTGTGTTGAGTATCCTGAGCCTTCCGACGAGTTCGTAGGTCGGCGACTTCGCTCCCGTACCGAGTGGGCTACAAGAGACTGTTCTCGTGCGAAAAACAAGGTTTCTTCGGCTTGCTGGGAGACCTGCTGGAGTTTCGTCATCAAGGAAGCCAAGTAGTGCTCCGTGTCTTCGTCGTCAAAACTGAGCAAGGACGAAGAAGACGACGTTGTCGAGCACAGACTGCGGCGCGACGCGTTGGCCGGATTGCAAGTGGCTCGAGTTCAGCACGTCTTCTCCTTCGCCTTCGCCTTCGCTGTCCTCCTCCAGCACTTCAACACTCCCGTCGTCCGACATGGACAGCTGCCCCATGAACGACAAGTTGGACGCGCGGGCATCGCTGTTCGATCTGCTCCTGTATTTGTGCCGTGATGCTCCGCACAAAAGCCGTCAACGACCTATCGCTGCCTTGGAGGTTAATGGTCCGGTCCTGGAGCGAGACGATTGATGCTTCATCCTTCACATCCAAGGCTTCATGTCCCTGACCCTCCAGACGAATCTGGGCCAGTGAGGACAGGTTCATTGTGGAGATGCAAACGCTGCAGAACTCAGCTCGCGTGAGTTGACAACCGGAGGTCAAGTCCAGTGCAAGCACGCGCTCCTTACAGCGGCACTTCCTGCGCGCGTACATGTTGCAACTGGCACACCCAGCAAAGCTTTCAAAGACGGACGGCTTGGCGTGGCAAACATGGCAGCTCTTCCGCGACAAAGTTGCAGGGCGGTTGGTCGACATCATGTGCGCAAACTTCTTCGCGCGCGTGCACTGTAACGCGTTGGTCATCGCTAACAGCACCTCCGACATCGCCTGTAGAGCGAAATAGGACAGGGCAGCGTAGTTCACTTCACCTTGCATGTAGACGCCCACCAAGTCGCCCTCCAGCTCTTCGAGGCAGATACATGAACGCGTTTGTGCTTTGGTTTGTGTGGATATTCCGGTAGATCCACCGACTGCATGACGTGGTAGGCCATCCGCCTCCCTGACGTCTGGCGCACCATCCCCATCTTGTAACTATCGTAGAGAGATAAGAGCCTTGAAATGCAGCAAATTATTAAGAAAAAGCTAAAGTAATTTTCAAGTCTACGAACAGATCGCGTAGACGGCATGATTTTCATTTTTCTTTTCTACGAGTCCATCGCTAAGCTCCACACGCTTGATGTGAGCGCTGAATTTCCTCCTTCTCAGCCTCCTCGATCATATTGATGACGTAAGAAATGCTGCAGCGTACTCACCTGATCGTCACGAGTTTGATTTCCCGTCAGCTATTCCATAGTTCATAGTCTGTAGGGCCCTTAGCGGATGTACCGCATTTCGCATGTAGAGAAATGTCATAGGTTTAGGTTAATTACTGCACTCGAGCCTAAAAACAATGTAAAACCCAAAAACTGGGTCACGCGATCATTTCGTACACAAAATTGGCAAGATGGTTGGTCATGCGGATGGCGCGGAGCGATCTCCTCTAGGATGGCGCTTAAGCTAGCAACAAGTCTAGGCGCCATCTACAACTATGTTGCACAGGAACCACACCACTTAACCTATTATCTACAGCGTTGCTTCTTCTACTACCATCGCTGCAGCAGCCGTGTTGTGCGCTCTCGCGAGCTTGCGCGTTGTGGTTTAACCTCGTGCTCCGGGGAGGGGGTAGCGCGACGTTGGCGAGCGGTGCGCAGCTTTTCCCCTCTGCCTTCGCGCGCTTGGAACTGGTGGCTCAATGTGCATGCAAAAATGCGCAAAATTCCCAAATTAGGGGTGTATCTCTCTACATGCGATCCCACGGACTTTTCTCTCGCATCTCTGATTGGTCTAAATAAAGGTGTATCTCTTAAACCGCTGTAGCGCTCTACATGCGAAATGCGGTACTGCGACATATATCCATTCCGTCCTCTTCGGGCCACGCTACAATGGCGAACCGGGAATACGTCGTCTCTTTCGTCGGGCCCTCGTTGCCCATGTAGCCGTGCATGTAGCTGCTGCCGAACGGCTTCTCCCACAACATCTCAAACGTTTCCTGACCAGGATTGAGGAAATTGAACTTGCCCACGTAGCTGGATCCGAGACTCGCCCCACTCATGGTGTACCACGTCGTCTCCTCATCACGGCTCTCCTCCTCCCAGTCTCCGATGTCCCCGTAGCTGCCGTAGAAAACCACCTTGTGGGTGAGCTCCACGAAGTGGAAGTCCAGCCTCTTGTCGGCTGACACCGACGGGTTCGCTGGGTGGAAATTTAGAATCGGTTACTTTTGAATTTAGAATCAGTCACTTCGATTTTTATATGCTCGATCGGTTACTTTTGAATGATGGCATGGTTAAATCGGACTCCGGGTCCCGCTACGGGGCTTCAACGGGAACCTGCTCAGGTCGACCGCGGAACGCACGACCTCCGCTACGCTCCGGTGTGCATCCTGGTCGCATCTAAAGATAGAACCTACTTCGCAGTGCAACTCCTCCGGCCTACGCGCCGTCCCCTGACAGACCTCCGCTTCGCTCAAGGAGCCTCTCTGAGGCCTCACCAGACATGGATTAAAGTAACCGATCGAGCATTCAAAATTTGAAGTGACCGATTCTAAATTCAAAGTAACCGACTCAAAATCAAGTCTCGCGTTCGCCTCCTCCAGGGCCAGAAACCTCGCGCGGTCGACCCCTTTCAGCGCGTCCGAGCCAAAGCCAGAGATGCTTTTCTGCGTGTACTTGTGCGCCAGGGGCAGCGCAAAGCATTCGTCTCCTCCCTCCATAGTCTCAATAGCGTCCGCTAAAGCTCCAGCCAAGGGTTTGTTCGGGTTGCGTTCCAGGTGCCGCATGTTCGGCGGCAAGCAAACCGAGTACACCAACGCGAGACGGAACCCCTTCGTCACCTTCTCCACTGCGTGCTCTGCGTCCGCGTAATGCACTGCGTAGTGCGGGAGGTACGTTGCCGTGCCTTCTGCCGTTCCAAAGTCATGGCGGTGCTTCACTTGGCCGTCACGGAACACCACGAGGTCCCCTCCTTGGTGCAGACTGGGCGGTTGCACCACCAGCGTCGCGATCATGCCGTCCTCCTTCTCCGTGTCCTGGTGCTTGAGGAAGTGGCCCCCCTCCTCGTACACCAGCAGCTTGTACAGTACACACTGCAGCGGGATGCCTTTGTACCCCAATCGGTCGGCGATAACCACCGCCATCTTGTCGATGCCGGCCTGCCACATTGGGTTCTTGAACTGCACTTGGCCCGGCGCTAGCTGCCAGCTCTTGCGGACGTTCTCGTCCATCTTGGTGTCCATGTTGTGGCCGAATGGGGACTTCTCGCACTTGTCGATGAGCTTCTGGGCCCGCTCCTCCCACAGAGGAACGGGCACGGGCCCCACCCCGTCGACAAAGAGGTCAGGGACAGCCGGTAGTAGGTCCGCTTGGCCCCCGAAGGAGAAGTCCCCCGAGTGCTCGCTCGCCCCGCCCAGCACGTCGCTGATCTCGCTGCAGGCGGCCCTGTCGGCACCGGGATGTCGTTCAAGTCGCCCTTGGCGGCGAACGGCCACTCGTTGTAGCCGAAGTCTTCCACCAGATCCGGGTCTTGGTCGAACAGCTCCTTGCGCTCGTCGTCGGACATGCTTCGGTGTGCGGAGTGAGAGATTCGAGGGGTCCGGAGCAAATTGGAGAATGAGCAGAGGACCAGGTCGGTTCGTGGGTTGGACCCCCCACAGCACTTCATGTTTGTATGAGCAAGTGCAAAGGAAACTGGAGGCTTTGCAAAGGTTGCAGTTGGCGGTTGATCACAGATATAAGATCATTATCATCGACATACGAGCCCATGGAGGGTCTGTGACTCGACTTCTAGTACTGCAACGCCACGGATCTTGTGAACTCGGGCATCGTGGACAGCGGCGACCCCACCAACCCCGGGAAGATGTTACTACGTTGGCTAACGCGGTCAGCTTCGCGTTCTGCACACGCTGCGCGCCACGAACGTACACATCATCGGCACGTTCAAAAGCACGCTATGGATACCGGAGAACAACATTTACTATGTGTTCGCACGGTGGTTAGCTCTTCCTCGATCAGAACCTACAGCACCAACACGCAGAGGCGGTACTCTGACGGCGGACGGCAGTGACGTCATGGTCCACTCCACGAGAGCGAGCACGACCGCGGCGGACTGTGATTGCTCTCCCCGACCTACTGGCCCCACTGACACTGCGGCAGCTTCAGGCAGCATAAACCCGTCCTGCAACGCACGCCTCGACCGGTTACAGTAGTTGTGTTCTGTATTCGTCAGCCAATTCGTTCGCAAGGCTTTCCCATTCGTCCTAACGATGCGTTTTGATGTTATTGCTGACTTCAGGCGTTTGAATTCTGTTAAACGGAGGTCTGAGCGTGCTCGAAAGAAAGAGTGATAGTTTAATTCGGGTTTTGTATGTGCTAAATTGAAGTTATTTCATATGGAACTTTGTATGATTGAAGTTGAAGATGCTCTTTTAAGAATGTTGTCTATAAGAAAAGCTTTTCAAATAATACCAGTTTATGAAAAGCTTTGCGCTAGAGTCGCAGCTCTTCAAACGAAGAGCTGCGACCCAGGTGTGTTAATGATGGATACTCTCGCAACCTTAGCGCGACATACCAGCTCAACCAACGCGGTGAAGATCCTAAGCATTACTATAGGAAGCCTTGCATTTTTCGGAGCTTCTACACGTATTAAAATTTTCACTTTAAATGCAGCTCGCGCTTTGGCGTGCATGTTAGAGAAAAGAGGATGCTGATTCAGCCAGCGTTCCTACGCTCTGAGCGTAGTCGAGCAGCAAAATCTCGCCCCAAGCAATAGAATGGAGGGTGGAGGATGGTCTTCCATTCTTGCTGTGCTGCAATCGGGCAAGATCAAGCCCCATGCCTTCAGCTAACGGCTGGTGACGCCCAGTATAATACATTACATGGTATTTTCTGTATAATAGGGTTCTCATGGTTGGTAGGTTTGCAGGTTGCAGGTAAAACTGACCAATCAGAAGAGATCAGTCAAACCTGCATGCAGCTTCCTTTGCCTTCCTTGTCCTCTGTTGGAAGCACCACTTGTAGCCTGCTGAACCAAACAGCATAAAAAACAAACTCAAATCAACTTCGGCTTTAACAGCAAAAGAAGAACTGTACTTCTTCTTTTGCATTAAAGTATTTAGTTTGCTGTAGCTACTCAATCCACTACAACTTGTGATAGGGCTCCTCAATCTTCTGCACCATTTGGTCGTATAGCTTGCAGTTACCGGCCTGCTTCTCGGCCATGAGCTTGTTTAACATTGGTTTCCACTTGCGGCCGCGGGTGTTGATAAACCAGTTGTTGACTTGTTCCAGCGTGATGCCTCCTTCCTGCGCCAGCCACTCCTTCTCCTCTTCGGTCGGGTACGGGTGGTGCAAGTTGTGTTCAAACCACTCGTGCATGAGCTGCTTCGACCGCTTCGAGAGGCTCGACCGCTTCTTGGGCATACTGTTGCGCGCCGCCAGCTCCATCGCGTACGGTGACACTTGCGAGAGCGAGATCGCAGACAGTGACGGCAGCAGATTGTTGCCTCCTCGTCCTGCACTGGACACTTGTTGGTGCTGCTGCGTCATACGTCGCTTGCCCCACGCGTGCATTGTGCGACCCGAATGCTCGTACTGAGCGGCGACGTTCGGGTCACCCAGCACCTGCGCCGCGTGCCCCATCGTCTGCATCGACACGGCCTCCATGTACTGGGAGCGGCTCGTGTCCTGGCCGGCGAGGCTGTCGCTGCACATCTGCTCGATCTGGGCTTCAAACGGGTCCGCGACGCCAGGCTGGACTGGCAGCGTCGAGTTGCTGGCGAACGCGAGGAGCTGCTGGTAGCTCCCGCTCGCGCGGAAGGCGTCGTCTTCCAGCAGCCGCTTGCGGCTCTGCTCTACGTACGTCTTGGAGTCCTCTGGCGGCGGCATCCACTGCGCCGCCGCGGGGCCTCCGCGAGCAGCGGACAGGGACGAAAGCATCAGAAGCAGCTCGGACTGCAAGCCCTCCACCTTCACTGCAGGCGCCATGACGGCAGGCTGCTCCGACTTGAGGTCTCGCCGCTGCTGCCCGGGGCGGTACTCGGATCGGTTCGGGAGCGGCATCGCCAATTGAGGAATGAGCTCCGTTCGCGACCGAGAGGTGTCTCTAGAATGATTGATGGACTTGATTGATGGAACTCGACTAGCGAGTACTGTAGTTGTTGTCGTAAGCTAACGGATTGAAGTAATGTGCCGTAATGCGCCGCGTCTCATGATTCGGCGTGTTGCATGTTGAAGTGACATGTTATTCCTACCTACTGGGGGTTCATAAGTTAGATGTTGCGGGTGGCGAAGCTGTGCGCGCGTCGGCCGTTGGAGGGCACCTGCTGCTTGAAGCGCGACAGCGCCAGCTTGGCCGGCGGGTCGGCGCACGTCTCGGGCTTGCAGTCGCTGCTGCGGGTGGATTCGGGCGCCGACTGCTCGTCCGAGTCTGCCAGTGTGAAGGCCTTGAACAACTGCAGGCTGGGGACGACAGCGTGGCGCTTGGTGTCGACGTTGTTGTTGCCCTCGTCGGACTCGCCCAAACTCTCGTCAACCGACGGCTCGCAGTCCGTCGCGTGCACGAGCACTGACACTTCCATCTCGGCCTCGCTGTCCGCGGTCGACGGCGAGTCGTCAACTTGGTTCGAGAACTCCGACTCCAGCTGCAACGTGTGAAGGTCGAGCTCTGCGTAGGGGTAACACAGTATGGCATAGGTGTTAGTAAGGTCGAGAAGTGAAATGTATGCGGGCAACCAGGTTCTTACCGAGTTCCATGCTGGAGTCGTCGCTTTCTGCGGCCGCTTCTTTGAGCTGCACCTCGCTTTCCTCAACGTTGGCCAGCAGAGGCTGCTCGACGTCGTCTTCGGCGTCCGTACTCATGACCACACGTCTCTCCGCCGAGATAGCGTCAGTGTTCAAGCTGGAGCGGCGTTCTGCGGAGACGGCGTTGTCCAGGTTAGACGCGTAGCTGCGGAGGAACTTGTTCAGGTTGTTGGATCGGGCATTTGCGGTGATCTCGGCCTCCTTCGCCAGCTCGCTGGCCAAGAGCACGGGGGTAACAGTTACGTCGCGGCCGTCACGCGCGTCTCGCCGGCGAGACCTGGTCGGCTGTGCGGTCTTCTTCTTTGCTGCTTCCTTCTTGCATTCCTCTGGCTCGCTGGACACCTTCAAGCGCGACTCGAATCTGCTGCAGAGACTCTGGACCATCTGGCGTGAGCGCAGCTCCTTGAGTGCGCTTCGGATTGAAGACTTCATGGGCCCAACAGGCGAGCGGATTTGGATCGAGGAAATGTCGGGCAGGGACAACTTGAGACGACGCTCGTGGGCAGGCTTTTGCACGACGATCTCGACACCATCAGCGCCCAGCTCTTCTTGCTTCTTCAAGTGGTCCTTCAGCAGCGACAGTCGACCACTTAGCCAAAGTCGGACCGCGAATCCAGCGGCCGCCACAGCGACAAGTAGTATCAGCGCGATCAGAGCTGCCATCCTTGAGCCTATTCCCGGTTTGGCGTGTCAAGACTTGCTCTTGAGTTCCTTCACCGACGCTGTGTATTTTTGAATGGCTGGGGTGTAGCAAGGAGTCTGGGGATCCTGAAAGGATCCATGCATGGCTGCAACACCTGCAAGCCAAGACTTAGTCGTACTGGAGCTTATTTTGGTTTGCTGGCACGTCACCACCATACTCGACGTCTTATGACCGGCATCAGCGCTATAAATGGCCAGCGCAATGATGGCAGACTCGTTGCCACTCGAGAAGGATAAGGTTGCCTCCTCTTATACAACTCCAATCATCAAGCCGCCACTTCAAGAGCTTCTTTTTGCAGTTGAGAGTTGAGATGGAGCGCCAGCGCGCGCTCTGGTTTATTCATCGCGTGGGGACGGAATCCGGTCAACCACTGTCGAAGCCGCGGTGCCTGGATGGATGAGGTAGCCATTTGGTGAAGCGAGCTCCTGCGTGCTCCCATCTTGACTTGGTAACGATTCGGACACCGTCGCGTTAGTTGCTTCGACATGCATCGTCGAGTCTAAGGACTGCAGTTGCAGCATCACTTCCATCGACAGCGGCTGCTGGACTCGCTCAAAGCGTTCACTTCGCGTCGAGGTCGCATTTGATCTAACAGAGCTAAGGCTGCGAGCTGCTGGGCTCTTGGCTGGTCCACCTAAGTGCTGGAGAGCCGCCATAGCTGCTTGCTTCAGCTTTCGCCCTTCAATATTTAGGTTCATATCGCTCGAGTGCTTAAACTTCGACAGCGCTGAGAGATCGTCTCCTGAAAGGCTACAGATAGGAGTGAGCACAGTCAATAAAGTGACTGATCACCAGGTCGCAAAACAAACACAAAGGCGTACCTCCAAGAACGACGCAGGATATCCTCAACGAGCACGTATCGGTCCATCTTCTTCAGAATCCTCTTGAAACTCTTATTATCCAGCCACACAGCGTAGCACCTCTCACACGAATCAGGTTGACCTGGCCGTTCGCGGTGCACAACTTCATTCTCGCAGTCATGCGAATACAGCATCACCCTGGTGCACACAAAACGCTTAGCTTTGGAAGAATAAAAAATAACAATGAAATCCCGGAGCACCACGCACTTACTTGTCCGAGCGAAGGTCCCGCACCACGTTCACGCGATACGACCCCACATAGTACTTTGCGAACGCGTGGACCAGCTCCATGTGCTCGCGGTAGAAGGCGTCCGGCACGATGCCTGGGCAGCGCCACCCAGTCGTGGGCAAGTGGACCAACTGGGCAACTGAGATTGGCTCCGTCGGCGCTGGTTCGCCTCTGGTCTCCACAGTCAGCTCCTCCTCCCCCTGCTCTTCTTCTTCTGCCTCGTCACTGCTGGCAACTCTGGATCGCTTTGGGGCGCTGCGTCGAGCCTCCATCTCCATCTCGATGTCGCGTCTGCGCTCCAGTCGTCGCTGCAGCTCCTCGGGCGTCTCCGCATTCACCTCCGGGGCGCCTTTGTGGGCCACCACGCGGCTCTTGTGCATCACCCACGCGGCCTCCTGGAACCTGCCGTTCATCTTGACCTTGAACCCCCTCGGGTCATTGGGCTTGCGGCCTCTGCGCGTCCTGCAGCGCCGAAACCAGTGGAATATTAGCAATCGGGGACACGTTTTGAGGGCGAAATAGACGCTAAAACGCTGCGAACCGCTCGTAATGCTCCGCGCAAGTGCGGCACAGGACCCACTCGCCGTTCTCCTCGTCCAGCTCCTTGATCTCCGGGTCCTGGCGCACGCTCTCGGGCCACTCGGAGCGGCGGCGGCGAGCCTCATAGTGCCCGAGCATGCCAACGAACAGATGGCTACACTCGTCAAAAGTATGATTTTCAAGTTTTAAGATAATATTTTCATTTTCATCGAAAACCAATGGCGACTAATAGTGACGACCTGATCCGCTCGTGCTCCGCCGTCTACGAGAGGAATCGCGTGCTGGTTCTGGGCCAATTCATATCGGTGCTCATCGCCTGCACGGGCGTCTTCTCCCAGCTATTGAGCAGCTCCTTCCAGGTGCGTATTGGCCGAGATATTCAACGTTTGATACATTGGCGACGAGTCCGACCTGCTCTGGCTAAGGGTGGCAAAGTTCACACCGTTTGTATACTACAGATCCAGATCCCGGTGACGCAGAGTGCTGGCAACTACCTGCTGCTATGCGTGTACCTGGTGGACCCCGTGATGCGGTTCCGTCACCAGCGGGGCTATAAGCTGGAGATCCCGTGGTGGCAGTACCTGCTGCTTGCTTTCGCGGATGTGGAGGGGAACTTCTTGGTGGTCTGCGCGTACAAGTACACGTCGATCTCGAGCGTCATGCTGCTGGACTGCTTCACTATCCCCGTGGTCATGCTGCTGTCGAGCGTGTTCCTGAGGGCCAAGTACACGCGCTCGCACTTTGTGGCCGTGCTGTTTTGCCTCGTTGGGATCAGCGTGCTGGTCATCTCGGACGTGATTCGAGACCAAGAGACCATGCTCAAGGCGTCGTGGGACGTCTCTGCATTGTACGGAGACTTCCTCTGTCTGCTCGGCAGCGCTGTCTACGCCTGCTCGAATGTCGGCCAGGAGTATCTAGTCAAGAAGGAGAACCGTCGGGTACGTCGCTGACGGCTGCTGGAGCGTCGTGAAGTTGCATCAAGCTGACTGGTTTTGCTACTGCAGATGGAGTTCTTGGGCCTAGTCGGCCTGTTTGGATTCCTCATTAGCTCTCTGCAGGCGGCGTGCTTCGAAGGAGACGTCGTCCGTGCTGTGGACTGGTACGGATTGCAGTAGTCGAAGGGCGGACGATGGGGGGGGGGGGGTACTTGACACTCACTAACGATGTGCTTGATGATCTGCTGATCAGGACGTGGCCCAGCGCATTATGCCTGCTCGGCTACATCGTCACGCTGTTCGTCATGTACACTTCGACGTCGGTGCGTATGCGTTGCATTGGATCTACTCATGTCGCCTTCTTAGTCGAACTAACTACACTCCCCGTGCAGATCTTCCTCACCACGGGCGACGCTGCCGTCTTCAACTTGTCGCTGCTCACGTCCGACTTCTTCGCCGTCGTGGCGGCCAAGTACCTCTTCAACGAGGAGCTCAGCAGTCTCTACTTCGTGGGTTTCTCGCTCATCATCGTGGGCGTCTCGGTGTACAACCGCTCGGCGCCGCCCACCACCGCCACTACATGTAGCTGCTCCTACATCGCTGACGGCTCTATCGACCGACTGCTGCCAGCCGAACCATAAAAAACTCGCACATTGATACACTCACCCAGCAACATCGTCAACAACTATAAAGCTACAGTAGATACAACCAAAGAAGACGAGGTCTATGGTCTGAAAAATGTAGTAAATGAAAAAAAAACCTGATTAAGAAACCGACCTCAGCAGGCAGGTCGCCCGCCTGCTCGCAACACAGCACGGCACAGCGCCTTCGCAGCCTCCAGTCGCTCGGAACCCAGTCCGTCCGCCCTGTTCGTCCTGCTGAATATCGCGCCTATTCCCTGCTGCTGCTTAAAAGTCCGCCGCCTTCCTATCACTCCGTTGCGGCGTTCACTCGTCCCCCTGGCCTCGTGTCTATTCCTCCTTCTTGACGTCCAGCGACTCGAGCGCCTTGGCGGCGTCGTCACCCGCCGAGGTGTCGGCGGCGTCGGTGCCCTCCTCGAGCTTCTTGTTGTTGGCCTTGGCGTCGTCGTGCGCCTCCTTAAACTTCTGCGCGTTCTCGGCGTTGCCGAAGCGCAGCGCGAAGACCTGCGTCTCCACGACGCCCTCGGCGAAGTCGTAGCAGCTGAAGACCCAGGCGCGGTCGCTGCCCATATTGGGCGTGAGCTCCGTGCGGGACTCGACCAGGTGGTTGATCAGGATCTTGTGCGTCTTCTCCTGGCGCATGAGCATGCGCACCTTCTGGTGCTCCTTGTGCTTGAGGAAGCGCACGTCGCCCACGCCGCGCTCGCACCACGACTTCTTGCCCGTGCCCTTGTCCAGCAGCGACTCGCGGTAGCAGAAGGCCTTGGCGCGCTGCTTGAAGATGACCTCCTCCTCCTCCTCGCCGGTGGTCACCTCCACCTCGTCGAGCTTCACCACGGGCTCGAAGTAGGCCTGCGGCTCCTCCGACTCCGGGTCCTTGGCGGCGTCGGCCTCCTCGGCCTCCACCTTGGGCGTCGTCTCCTCGGGCTTCTTCTCGACCTCCGACATGTTGTTAGGCTGTTTGGCTACGTGCTTCGACTAGCGTAGGATTCCTCTTCCTGACTGAGGGGGCCGATAAGATAGAGGGCCAGCAGCGACAGCCACTCAATTCAGGACTGCCTACTTGACTGCCGTAGTCTGTTTGACAATGTCTAATCCTAGACATTGTCAAATAACGTATTCGGTAACGCTAGTCGCCTAACGCTACATTATCAAGTCTGACAATGTCTAGTATTTGACATTGTCTTTCCGACTGACAGTCTATTCGGCAGTTCTGGTGTGTGCGACACCAGGTTACGGCGAAGGCGATGCGCCCCACTTTTCATTGAGGCGGCGGCTGCCTCCCCTCTCGCTTTCATCCCCGGAGCGCGCGCATTGGCCCAGCGATGCTGCATGCAGGCACCGTGGCGCACGCGCATCGTTGCGGTTCTCCGGAAGCAGCACTGCAGGGAGCTGGATGCTCATGGAGGTCGCTTGAGGCTCGCGTCGCGGCCGCCGCCAGCACTCGTGTTTGGCTCATTTCACAACTCTCCATCGACTGCTAAGGCCGCATCCTGCCTGCTCCGCCTCTTCCGTCCCCGTTCTGCTGCCGGCGCCGCTGCTGCTCCTGCTGAGACCTCCTGCCATAATGCTGCGTGCTACGCAAGTGAGCAGCGTCGTCCTCGCCCACGTGATGGCGATGGTTGCGTTCCTCCGGACGCTCCGTCCTGACCAAGCCCGGCTTCGACAGCTGGAAGCCATCGCTGCGGATGCTGACCCTGCGGACATCGACACGGCCAGGCCCTGGGTCAGCATGCCCTTCCACATGAGAGACCCAGTGGATCGCCTGCGCTTCATTCATGGGTTCGCATTCGTGCGAATGAGCAGGATCCAGCACCTTTTCAACGCTGCGAAAGGCTTTGGGAGCCAAGCCGCCATCGCCGCTGGCTGTGGTCTCAGCCACTTCTACACGTTCCGCTACAAGGGGTCTGGCGAGCCTGTTATGCCCCCGGAGCTGTACAATCCCCGCACGCACGAGTACTGAGTGGCACTAGTGGATGTTGCCAACAACGCGTACCTCTCTAAGCTCCTTACCAAGGCTCTCCCCTCCCGATTCGCGCCAGCGGAGATGCCGTTGCAGCGAATTCATCCGGCTCGCTGGATGAAGGCCAGATACGACCACAACTTTCCAGGCGGTGTCTATATGTGTATTCTGTTCCGCCGCGAAGCCTTTATTGGTGGGGACGCGGGTTTCCTGGTGGGGAAGGCGGGGGAAAGCGGCAATGTGCAAGGCAGAAGCGCCGACCATGTGCGCCAGCTTGGAGTCCTTGGGGGTGATGCCAACCTGGCCTACCTTGCTTGGTACGTGCCTGTTGAAGGCGAAGGAGCTGTCGGAAGGTCTCGTCGCCGCTGCCTCGAGAGACGCGTACTAACTCTAAAGGCCGAATATGGACTTCACTTCGCCACGACGATCGGTGGCCGCGTGGCTAACGAGCTCGTCCAGTTTCGTCCATGCCAAGTGAACCTTGTGTACCAGCTCTTTATGATCGCGCGTCGCCAATGGCGTGATGCGGGCGAGGACAAACTGAACTAGGCGCTGAGCTGCGTGCTGTACGAGGCGCAACAACTACGGTCAACTTACATTGCTAGCGTGAAGATACACTCATAAACTCGAAAACAATACACAAGCTTGCCTCGGGCCATTTTCTTGGTATTTGTCGGTGGTTGGCTGAAAATGCGCCGCCAATAGATCGGTGCAGCAATAGGCAACCGCCGCTGATGGACGCGGCCAAGAAGCGCAAGGCCGCGGCCGGCGCCGTGCTGCGCAAGAAGCCGCGCCGCGACAAGAGCGAGTTCGTGAGCGTGGAGGTGGGCATGCGCGAGTTCAAGAAGCGGCTGGCCGCGACCGACGCCACTGCAGTCGGCGCAGCAGTTGCAGGCCCCGCGCAGGTGGAGGACATCACGCAGGAGGTCAAGCGCACGAGGGCCAGAGCCAAGGCCAAGACGGCGGCCGCAGCGCCAGCAACGAAGAAGGCTCCAGCTGCAAAGAAGACGACGCCCGTCAAGAAGGCTGCGGCAGCGACTGTGACTCCGAAGAAGGCGACGACTGCAGCAAAGAGGTCGGCGACGGTGGAGAAGAAGGCAACGCCAGTGAGGAGGACAACGCGAGCTGCGACGAAGACAACTGCTGCGTCCAAGATGACACTGGCTGAGGTGAAGCAGCAGTTGGAGCGTGAGCAGAAGGAGCGGGTGGAGTCGCGCATCCAGTCGCTGCATCGAGAGGCTAAGCCCGTTACTACTACTGCTGCTGCTGCTGCTGTTGCGGCGCCGAAGGCTCCTGTCACCGAAGCTCCTGCGCCTGTGGCTGCCGCTATTCCCTCCCCTCATCCTGTGCCTACTGCTGTTCCTGCAATTGCTGCTGCTCCTACGGTTGTCGTCCCCCCTCCTGCGCCGGTTGCTAGTGGTGGGCTGGAGCAGCCGAGAATCGAGTCTTCAGTGGTGGTGGCGCCTGTGGTGCCGACGCAGCCGACAGATGCTAACCATGCTGTGGCCACGCAAGTATTCACACCGAATGCATTGTCAACTACCCAAATCCCAGTGAGTGCAGCTCCTGTCCCGGCCACTGCCGACCCACCATGCAGTCCAGCGCACAACGAGTTCATTGCGGACGACATGGAAGAGGATCTCCTGTTTGCAATGGCGCTAGAAGAAGTGGAGCAGAAGCTGGCGACTCCTAAGAAGCCACCTTCTATTGAGACTGTGCATGCCCCTGCTGAGCAGAGCACCGTGTGCGTGCAGGCGCCTGCTGCCTGTGTGGTCACTGAGACCCAAATCGCTTCTCCAGATCCAGCAAAGTCACCACCGCCACCTGTAGAGCCGCGTATGCCACCGCAGGTTCCTATTGCTACTCAAGTGCAGCAACCGACATCACCAGTGGAGGTGGCAAAACAAGCAGCAGTAGTGATGGCGCCTGAAGTTTTGGAGGAGATGGAACGCCTGAGACGAGAAAATGAACTTCTCAGGTGGTCCAACGAACTCCTTCAGGCTGCTGCCACTACACCGACTCATAAAGAGATTCCCGTTGATACACGGCAAAACCGTTTGCACGAGCACTCCAGTTCTCCTGGAGGCAAAACGGATCCCCCAGCGACTTTAAGGAAGACGACACCGGAGGTCTCAACGCCTGCTCCTGCTGCACGATACCTGGACTTAGGGAGGTGTGACAGCGATCAGGATATGAAGCAAAGAGTACCCGCCTTAGAAGATGACCGGTCTCAGGGGCACAGCCGGGATAAGTCGTCACCTGCGAGCGTTGGTACACATTCGAAACAACGAGATGAAGTGTCTGCGCGTAGCACTGAAGAGGTTGAAGACAGTCACAAGCTCGAGGACGAAAATGATATCGTCATGGAACAACCAGAGCTGTCACCTGCGGACTCGTCGCACCAGCAGGCATCAACGACTCAACGCGACGTAGTCGAACCTGTGCCTCCTACTCAACGTACTCTCGATCGCGAAGATAGTCGAAGTCCAAGCCACGCAACACAATCAACAGCAGCAGATTCCGAGGCAGATCATGTGCACGAACCTGCATCGCCGGTGGAAGAGCAAGGGAGTGCACAGGAAAACACGGACAAGTATGCTGCAGCTGCCCTGGCCGGAAGCAGTGATGGTGACGTATCGGATGTGGATATGTCTGAAGCTGACGAGGACGAAGAGGATGACGAAGGTGTCGCGGAAGAAGATGGCCCTGCTCAGAGAACGTCGACCATCGACAGCGGTAATTATCATGAGTACAAGGCGCGCGATGTGGACGATTTTGACGCCGCTGAAGATGAATCTGGCGAAGGTGTTCCTGATAGCAGCGCGGCGTTGTCGGAAGCTGGAGTTGACCCCGCACAGACGACAGCAATCCCAATTGACGCCGAAAAGTCAGACGATATTACTGGTGAGGTATTTGAGCGGACTACTGCTCCCAGCAACACAGAGGAGGATGAGGACGATGAAGATGAAGTCGTGGTCGTGAATCGTGTGAAGCGGCGGGAGGTAATTGCTTCATCGTCGTCAGAGTCGGAATCCGGGTCCGAGTCGGAAAGCGAAGAGGAGGAAGCAAGTGATTCGGATGAAGCACCGAGCGGCAATGTATTAGAAGCCGCTCTAAAGGCTGCTGGGGGCGATTCAAAGCGGAGACTCCAGAAGAAAGGATCATCGGCATCGGCTAGCCCAGCTAAAAGCGGTGATGCCAGTGGTAGTCGCCCCAAACCTAATGCTGCGGCGACTTCGGTGACGTCACCTTCATTGCCGGCGAAAGCGACAACCAAGAAGCGAAAGAACCCGTCGTCGTTGACTGCCACTAGAAGAGCGCCCAGTGTCAAGAGTTCCTTGCTCTGGCCGGCTCTGGATGAATTTTACGATTTTTTGTTGGACCTGTTCCCAACAAATGTCCGCGCGTCTGAGCAGAAGAGGATACACCTGCAGCAATACGCTGGAGGGAAGCTTCCTGCTCAGCATTCGAACATCGACGATTACTGCGGTGTTCAGCTTGACGCTATCATGGAGGAGCTGGTGGCATCAGTGAGCAACACCACGGACAGAAGAGGGGGTGGAGGTTCCGGCCCAACACGGCATTTGTCGCTCTCTTCAGTGTCTCCGTGCGGCTCTCAAGGGCCCTCTGCGTCTTCGGTGGGTCTAAGCTTTGGTGCTATCTTCTCCGAAAGTGGTTTTACTGGAAGCACGTCCAGCAGCAACGAATATATCCTCACGTTTGACGCGTCTGCGCTCGGCAAGAAGAGCTCATCGGATTTCATGAGTGGAGATCTGGTTTTGGTGCGCTCGCCTCGCTGGAAAAACTACGAAATGTGCGTTTTTGGCGTGGTCCTGTGTGACTCCGTTGTAGCAGTAGGTGGGAAGAGCAGCACGGGAGGGAAGGGTGGGTCGGGGGACAGTGACCAGATCTGCGTGCTCATTCGTGCTCAGAAGCGAGACCGCGACGACGCAGTGGAAAACTTTAGTGTGTTGACGGAGCTGTGTCTCTCCAACCAGCGATCGCCCAATTGGCGCTGGGCGCTACAGCAAGTGCACAACACAACCACAAGTGCACGCGAATTCCAGGCCATCAAGGCGATATCGTTCCTCCCCAACGATCTCAAGCAGGTGTTACTTCGCGGTCAGTTGGTGTCTTCTGGTAAATCGGAGCAGGCATCCATGAAATCTGCGGCCTCGTCCTCGATACTATCTCCGCGCTTGCTGAAGTACCTGCAAAAGCACTACAATGACTCGCAGATGCAGGCAATTCTCGGGTGTCTTGGCGAGGACAGCAGAGTCATTATCCAGGGACCGGTACGCTGCACTCAGTCTTGTTTATCTTTTGAGTGCATTGCACGTGATCTAACCTATCATTTGGGTCTTGTACGTACAGCCAGGAACAGGCAAAACCAAGACAATTTTGGGGCTTCTTTCTGCCTTACTGGATGGTGCTGGGATCTCCACGCTCCAGAAGACAAAGGGCACAGCCCGAATTCGTGTGGGTGCATCACTTCAAAGTGCACGAACCTCGGCCGTGTCGAAAACTGTGGCGGAAACCTCGATTCGCGTCCTTGTTTGCGCACCGAGTAACGCCGCCGTGGATGAGCTCGTCGTTCGAGTCCTGAGCGAAGGGCTTTACAACGGAGAGAAAGGGGAATCCTATCGCCCACGAATTGTGCGCGTGGGTCGTCCGGAGAGCAGCCAGCAGTTATCGAGCCTGGCTGCAGCGCGAGAAGCCAGCGAGAGCAAGAAGAACCGCAAGAAGATGCGCAAGTACGCGCGCGAGGTGGAGGAAGTGCTCCTCGAGAGTTTGGTCACGAAGCACCGCAGTACGTTCCCGACAGTGAAGCAGGCGCGCCAAGCGATCATCAAGAACGCGCAGATCGTGTTTTGCACGCTGAGTGGAGCGGGCTCCGTGGCGATGTGCGAATTCGCGCAAGACTTCGATGCTCTGATCATTGACGAAGCTGCTCAAGCTGTGGAGGCGAGCACCCTCATCCCGTTCAAGTTCCGGCCGCATCGAGTTGTCCTTGTGGGTGACCACCGCCAGCTACCGGCCACAGTCATCTCCAAGAAGCTGGTGTCCATGGGGTACGACCGAAGCCTGCAGCAGCGGCTAGTGGAGAATAAATCTCCAGTGTTGCTGCTGACGCAGCAATACCGTATGCACCCGGAGATCGCCGAGTTCCCGTCGACTCATTTCTATGGCGGGCGGCTGGTGCAAGATGACAACATGCGCGACTGGACTGCGCAGGACTACCACCGCGACCGCGCGTTCAAGCCGCTGCTGTTCCTGGACGTGCAGGGAGCGCAGAGTCAAGTGAGCGGGTCCACGTCGCTCCGCAACATGAGCGAGGTCGAGACTGTGGTGCAGCTGCTACGGCGTTTGCTCAAGAAGTTCCCGCACGTCGAGTGGAAGAAGCGCATCGGCGTCATCGCGCCGTACAAGCAGCAGATCTACGAGGTGCGAGGCGCGATCGGGAAGCTCGAGTCCGAGTGCGATCAGCGCCTCGGCATCGAAGTGAACACCGTGGACGGCTTCCAGGGCCGCGAGAAGGAGATCATCATCTACTCGTGCGTCCGCACCAGCCACGGAGGACGCACGAAGAAGAAGAGGAGGAGCCACGGCAACGACGGGGAGGCGGAGGACGTCCTCGACGCCTTCTGGGCCGACGAGCGCCGCATGAACGTCGCCATCACCCGCGCCAAGAGCGGCCTCTGGATCGTGGGCAACTCCAACCTGCTCAAGCAGAGTCGAGCGTGGCGCGCGCTCATCCAGCACACGAAGGACCACAACCGGTACATCCCCGACAGCGCCGCGCTCTTCGCCGCCAGCTCCTCGACTCGGAAGACGAGTAAAGCGCCCGGCAAGCAAGCAAGTAACTAAGTGACCGGCTATTGACACCAAATATCCATCAACTTCAACAGCAGCACTTCAACCTTGTCCTCCAATCAGAGCCGCCCCCTCGCACCACACCACTCTCACATAAAACTTTAAAATTTCAGCGAATCAAAAGCCTTAAAACAATTCCAATAACTTCCCGCCAACCGCTAGGTCACTTTCCCGCCGGTGCTCATTGCCAGGATGGTCGACGCCGAGGCGCAGACGGAGCCGCCCCGCCCGGTGCGTCCGCTCTAGCTATCTACTCTCTGCTGCCCCCTAATTGGTAGCCTAACTATCCTTCTCCTCTCGTACCCCTTATCTACGCACAGGCGGCGGTGCTGGGCGTGGAGCAGGACGTGCTCTACGGCGTGCGCGTGCGCAAGAGCTTCGGCGCGCGCGCCTTCTGGGGCTCCGTGGTGGGCTGCTACTGGGTCTCGGGCGGGCTCTTCTACAAGGTGAGCTTCGACGACGGCGACGTGGACATCTTCTCGGCCGACGAGGTGCTGCGCGACGCGCAGGAGGCCAAGAAGCACGCCAAGGAGAACCCGCAGACGGCCGGCAATGACAGCGAGGCGCTGGACGCGTACCTGACGGCCATGAGGCACCACTGCCTCAAGCGCAAGCGCAACGACGCCGTGGACTGCTCCGTGCCCAACGTGCGCCGCGTGCAGCTCTGGGGCCAGCGGCTCTACGCGTCCATCTACACGAACGACAGGAACGAGACGTTCATCAAGGAGCTGCTCAAGGCCGAGGACGGCGGCGTGGGCGAGATGGAGGCCACGGGCCAGGTACAGGTCGGAGACATGATCCTGGCCGTCAACCAGACGCGCGCGCTCGGACTGCCCAGTAGGGAGCTGGCCGAGCTCATCAAGAAGCCCAAGAGACCCGTCACGCTCACGTTCTACCGGCCGCAGCATCCACCCGAGCAGCAGATACAGGCTGGCCAGTCCACGCCAGCAGCAGCGCAGCCTCCTCCGCCGGTTCCAGCGCCTGTGATGCCGCCGTCGTTCGTTGTCCAGCAGCCCGTGTTCAGACACCCGGCTTCAGCTCCACCTCCACAGCCTCAGTGGATTCCGCCGCAGCGCGGAGCTATCTCAGAGAAGGAGGCACTTCGGCAAAGTCTGTTCCAGAGGGTTGCGAGGCAAGGCGGGTACGTCCCTGGAATGACAACGGGTGTGATGGCGGTGCCAAACCACGGCGTACCAGTCCCGGCGGGATACACGGCCCATCCTCAGCAGTACGTCCAGAGAATCGTTGACGCTGCCGCTATGAGAGTGTCGGCGGGTTTCGTGGTTCCTCCACAGCAACAAGCAAGGCCGATGGTCGTGGTCCCGCCGCAAACGTCGGCGCCTGCGTCTCGAGTTGACTACTACACCGAACGCAATCAGAGACAACGCACCACGGGCCCCACCCTCTACCAGCAAGTGCAGCAGATGCAGGCTCAGCGTACTGCTACAGCTGGATCTAACAGGGCCTCAAGTGAACACACGCAGCCTCGTGCTGGACCCACAGCAAATGCGAAAACGAGTGCAGTGCAAGCCGAACCGGAGCGGAGGACAGGGCCGTCCGAGCCTACGAGAAACCAGCCGAATGTGTCAACCAGCTCGCGACAATCTCCCAGCAACGAGTCTGCAAACGAACGGAGCTCAACCGAACGCGTACCGACGGCAGCACCAAGTACTTCAGTTGCTCCTGCTGCCAGCACTGGCCCAAGCACGATAACTCATCGTGATGTCGAGGTAATTGCGGCGCTAGCCGAGAGAGACCCCAAGGCGGCTCGAAGCGTGTGGAATGGCGCATCCTCGTCGTTCGTGTCACCAAGCGACACACCAGCAACCAAGAGCCCAGCGCCTCCAACAACTCAATCAACGTCGTTCCTGATGCCCGGTGGTGGTGGTTCGTCGTTCCTGTCGCCAAGTGGCACAGCTGTAAGCAAGGACCCTCCGACGACGTCATTCCTGACTCCGAGTTCAGCCTCAGCAGACAAGAGTCCGACAACCGTCGAACGTGCCGCGGAGACCGCGTCCCACTCCATGTCGTTCCTGTCGCCGACGGATTTCAACGTGGAGGAGACGAGCATGTCGACGCGTCGGGACCTCACAGCGCCGTCCTCTGGGCAGATCAATTCGAATGTTAGTCTCGTGAAGGTAAAGGTTTCGCGTCGCCGGTTATACCTCACTCTAGGTGTGCAGGGCACCCTCATCGCCGTCACGTCCTTCGTGCCAGACGAGCACGGCCAACCTGGCGAGGTTGAGTTGAGCGGCAAGGTCCTTCCTGGCGACGTCTTAGTGCGAGTCAACGCCACGTACATCAGGTCGGGGATGACGCCCAGTAACGTGGCGGATATTGTGAACTCTGCGCCTCGGCCCATGACGCTGTGGTTCGAGCGCGCATCGTGGGACGTTCTAGACGGCAAGGCGTAGCACCAGCAGCAGTGAAAAATGTCGAGAGACTGGTATTTTAGAGTTCGGTAGGTGGCATGGCGAGTGACGATAACAAGCGTATACCTATAAAGCGCAACCCGTTGCCCTTTCAATTAGCTTTGTTACTCCTACAACTTCGTGCGCTTCGTCTTGCTTGGTTGTATGCAATTCCTGTCGTTTTGCGCTGGGCCTACGTCCAAGTCCAGCTGCAGACTATCGCGTGAACTTTCGAACTCAGAAGACGTTGTCGTACTTCTCCATGGCTCCAGACACGGCGTCCACGACTCTGACCTCGTTCATGACGTACACGGAGCGGAACGCGCCCGACTCGTCAAAGCGCTGGATCGTGCGCAGACGCCGCGAGCTGTCGATGCCTGTGATCGTCTCCACCATCAACGGGCGGCCTGCAACAGTCAACACCAACAAAAAGAGTGAGCAAACCAGCATCCTTACCAGACAAAGCATTCAATACATAGCTAGTTCCGCCCGTACCTGAGCGCTTGGAGGTGGCCGTGACGATGATGACATTGGTGCCGAGCTCCTGCATGGTGATGTCGGACCCGCGCAGCGTTGGGTCGTCCGTCTCGATCTTGAGGATGCCGTCGGACACGGGCTTGATCCACATGTGCTGCATGGAGGTGAGGCCGCTCATGGTGGTCCTGGACTGGCGCTGGCTCCACACGCCTTCGTCGTCGCGGAAGACCAGGTCGTTGGAGCACACCTGGCTGCCCTCGTCCTGCTCCGGGATGGTCGTGAGCTCTCCGTTCCAGCGGCCCTCCATGCTGGGCAGCACGTGGTAGCTGCAACCGTTGACGCGCACCGAGAGCTGGTTGAAGAAGGCGCGGCCGGCGCCCACCTTCTTCTGCGCGAAGTGCGGCGGCAGGCTGCCGTTCAGCGAGCGCGAGATGATGCTCTTCTCCATGCCGAGGCGGTGCACGGTGCCGTCCGCGCCCGCGGCCCAGATGTTGTCCTCCTTGAGCATCTGCAGGTTCGAGTCCTCGTGCTTCCTGCGCGTCTTGATGCTCTCGGCCAGCAGCTTGTAGTTGAGCGGGTGGAAGGGCTGGTGGGCCGCCTCGATGTGCACCAGCACGTCTCCGTCCGTGATGCCCAGCTGCGCCAGCGTCTTCTCGTCGGGCAGCTCCTTGCCCTTGTGCAGCAGCAGGATGAAGTTGTTGGGCGTGTCGGCGTGTGATCCGCTCTCTTGGTACGCGGCCTTGACGCCCGCCACGCTCTCGGACGGAGACGTCTCGAGCGAGAAGGCGCTCGTCTCGCTCTTGATCGTGATCTTGATCTTCTCCGCGCCGGCGCCGGCGGAGGAGGAGGACGCAACAGCAGCAGCGGGGGAAGCCATGTCGGTGCGGTAGCTTCTCGGTCTCTTTTTGGCAAATGTGACGTAAGGCGTGGAGATCTTACAACTTGAAGAGAGCGTTCGAGAAAAATCGAGATGGAAATTGACATTTTTTTCGGGAACCGGTGCATAGATATGCAATCGTGGTGTTGAAGTGAAGGTTTACCGACTTCCTCCGCTTATAGTGGACATGGAAAATACCGGTACACTGTACCACCCGTCAAAAATGATATGCCGAATCTGGCAACTGGTACCGGTACCAGTAGTCGATTAGCTGCCACTTTTTTGCGCTTTGCTCACTTTATTGGTACAACGCCGCTAGCCGCCTAAGCGAGCCTGTCGCGCTTGACACCTCGCGGCAGGCAACAGGCTGCCACTGCAAAGCCTTGAGCAACACGCGCCCGCGTGAGGCTAGTGCCGTTGCAATGCTTTGCCCTGGCTTTAGAACATTTTTGATGTAAACTTTTTATTAAAGTCTAACTCGGTAACATGTGTCATTGGTCGATGGGAACAGCGTGATGCAAGCAAACCACTCTCCGAACGTCTGTATAGTATACGTGTGCCGCAGCAGTGCTTAACACTAGCATAGGTAGTGGGTACTGGCAGCAACCGCGTCCAGGTAGCTCTAGGCTGCAGTCGTAGCTGCGTGAAATGAACGGAAGCTCCATCGCACCGATATATTACCGGTGGAAACGTATCGAAATGATTTGTGTGGAACTTATAAGTGGAGTCGTGATATGATTGGGCGCTTTTATATGAGGTTGTCCACTACAAGTGGAGGAAGTCGGTACACGTCCGCCATTGCCGGTTGGTCCTCCCAGTACAACACCAGCATGTCCACATCTCTTTACAAGGAAGTGTACATGTAGGGCAGTTGGGATCATCCATTTTCATAGCCACAGACAAGAGCGTACTGTGCAGTCAGAGTTAAGTTGGATGGCATCGTAGTTACGGAATCGTTATCGAGAGCACGGTTCTAACTTACTCGAGACCTTCCTTGCTTTAAAAAAAAATTGAGCTGCTGGGTAGAATGACTCAACTCCAGTTTGTTGCCGGTGCCGAGGCGCAACTCTACCATACTGTTTGCTCATAAGGAATTAGGATAAGAGCGGAGGCAGAGTCTTCGCCACCCTATTCCGTGGTCTGTGAAGAATGAACCAAGCGCAGTAAAGGTCATTTTGGCTTTGGGGAGCCTTCCTGCTGCACGCAGGCGAAATTCCCATCGACGGCTTGGCAATCATGACAACGCCCGCACAGGAGGAGTGTACCTTTCCGGCCATCCTAAGTCGTGGCATGACGAGAAGCACGGTGTCGACGGGTTTTGCACAAGAATGAAGGACTATTACAGCAGCCGAGGTGAACTTCAGCACGCGATGTGGCTGTACCAGCACTGCAATCTTGAGTGTTTCACAGCAGCAATGTACAGGGAGGCAACAAACGGCCGTCTCGAAATGCTGCCATGGCTGAACTCATTCTACAGCGGAGAGTGCATGTAACGGGGTTACACGTAGGTTACCCTTGTGGTTACCCTTTTGGTGTGAGATACACCAAGGGTTACTCCCTGAGCCACTGGCCAGTCATTGAGAATGAACTAGAGTTAGTTATGTCGATAGTAAGTGCAGGTATTTGCACCGTAGGCGGCGGAGCCGCAGATAAGAGAATGAATACAGTTTGCCTTTTGCAAGAAGTCTCTGACTTGTTTTCGTGGGTCCTCGGATAGGACCCTGTTGGACTCTTTGAGTCGTAAAGTCTTCCTCTACGCAAGGAGCTACGGCAGCCCCGCTGCACTTGGTAGCACTCGTAGTCAATCCCTCACCTGAGTCTGTTAGACTGTACCTCTGTGAGGATGGAGCAAGCTGCGTTCGCGAATTCGGCCCCCGGCCAGCAGGAGGCGCTTAAAATGCTTATGTCTCTGTTGGGCTGGCGCACCTTTCCTCGCAAGGCCCGGACGCGATCAACGCGCGTCTCGATGCGTTCTCAAGTTACGAGAATGCTCTGTTGGAGCACATCCAGCAGAGGATGAGCGCGACGGCGCCTGCAGCGGCGTCGGCCGCGTCGCAAGCCGGATCGACTCGTCCCAAGCCACTCATGCTGAGTGTCAAGTCGTTCGAGGGTCTGGAGGGGGAGAATCTCCTGCTCTGGATTCGCGAGATCGAAATGGCCATGGGCTCTGCCCTGCTTCAATCGGAGCACCAGCGCGTCGCGCTTGCCATCTCTAAGCTCAGCGGAAGAGCTCGTGAGTGGGCGCTTACCAGCGGGTCGTCGGTAGACCAAGCCTTCCCGACATGGGATGAGCTGAAGCGACAGCTCTCACGAGTGTTCTCGCCGCTGAACCACGCATACCGCGTGCGGTCCAAGTTCCTGGCTTGCCGTCAGGGGAAAAAGGACTTGGTGGACTACGTCCAGGAGCTACGCACGCTCATCGCCGGCATGTTCGCTGAACCGCTGCCTGAGTCTGTCACCGTCACGGTGTTTATGGATGGTCTCAGGGCCGGAGTGGCTCGCACGGAAGTGTTCCGCAGTCGTCCTACCTCGTTCGAGGAAGCTGTGGCCGTGGCGTTGAACGCCGAGCACTATTTCAAGTCCGCTCGCGTTGGCTGGAGCGCGCCACAGGCGAGTCCGTCGAACGGTCCTGAACCTATGGACCTCAGCTACGCTGAAAGTGACGAAGCCGAGCTTCTGGCTGCTGAGCAGCGCCGCGGTATCCGCCGTTGCTACACCTGCGGCAGGACCGAGCACTTGCGGCCGGGTTGCCCGCTGCGCAAACAGTAATCTGCTCGTTCGAGCGGCCCCGCTTTGAGCCACAAGGCTGGTTCGTCGCGGGGAAACGGCGACTCCCAGTAGGCGCGGGGCGGCCTACTGGGGAAGAACTAGGTTCTGTAGTGCCTCAGGGAGTGGGAGGACAACGGAGTCTAGTTCCGAAGAGAGCCGTACTCTCAAACACGGAACGTATATGCAAGCCGGGCTTGCTGGTCGTCATTGCGACTGTGACGGGCTTCGAGAAGCCGTGGACGATCTTGATTGATTCGGGGGCGCCTGGCAATTACGCCAGGCGTTCCTCCATGGAGGACAGCGAGTTATATGCTGTGGCGCTTCGCGCGCGTTCTCGTGGCATAGTCACTGTCCGTTTGGCGACGGGCACTCGTGTCACGGTGCCCAAGCTCCCCATGGACTTGGGCGTCAAGTTCCTTGACTTTGACAGCACGGAACGCTGTTTGGTCTTGGACCTGGATTCAAGGTATGACCTCATCCTTGGTATGGCGTGGCTGGAACGCCATGAGCCTTGGATCGACTGGAGGTCGAAAACGTTAGGTGCTACGCACTTCTCTCCTGGTGGGGCTTTGGCGAGTCATGAACCCACCTCTGCCAGGACACAGAAGCGCTTTTGGCGCGAGCACTGGACCGAGTCGGTCGCTGTGCTGGACATCGGCGTGTCCGAGTTGGTCGACAACGCCGTTGTTGAAGAAGCACTTCCCGGAGTGGGCGCGACGTCGTATACGTCGGCCGGTCCCGATCACCGCTCGTCGGACGTTTGTGGGCGGCACGTACTCCGCTGGTTCAGGGGCGTTTAACGCCTGGCGACGGTATGTCGCGGCACTCGGAGCTCGGCTCCCCTCGTGCGCGTGGGATGGCACGTACTCCATCGACTTTGGGGCGTTCGACGCTCGGCGACGGTTTGTCGCGGCCCGTTGGGCATGGCCGTGCGGGGGACAAGGAGGAGCGTGTCACGCCTGGTGCTTTCGTGACCAAGGATTGCCGTTTTGGCGATTCCTCGCTGGCGTCCACGATGGACGGAGGCGCGTTGTCGCCTGGATGTGGTGACGACGCTGCCGCCACGTCGCCCTCATCCTCTCGGCCTCGGGCGCGGAGGAGGAGGAGGAAGAGACGCAGAGCGTCTGCGGCGTCGAGCGTGTCGAGCGATGAAGCTCCACGCGAGTGCTGCGAGCAGCTATACACGCTCGTGAATGGGCTGACGGGAGACGTCAATGGTGACATCAGCCTTGAAGCTCTTCCCTCCGTGAGTGCTCTCCTCGAGCTTGAGGAGATGTCCGTCGCCGAGTTCGGCGAGGCCTTATAGGCGGGCGATCTAGCCGAAGTGGTCATGATACGACCAGAAGAAGAGTTAATCTCGTCGTCACTATTGGACGAAGCGGTCCTGGAGGACACTAAGCAGGCGCTTAATAAACGTAGTGGCTCAGCCATCTTGAAGGATCCGTCAGATCCGTTGTACCCGTTGGTAGTGGAGTTCGGAGACGTTGTCTCGAAGGACCCGCCTATGGGCCTACCTCCTGATCGAGGCGTTCGTCATGAAATTGACTTGGTTCCGGGAACCAAATATTGCGTCACACGCCAGTGGCCACTTCCCAAGGAACAGTGTGACGTCATTGACGCCTTCTTTCGTGCCAAGAACGAGGCAGGACTGGTGCGCGAAAGCAAGTCCCCGCACTCGACGCCGACATTCTGTATCAGGAAGCCGAACGGCAAATGGCGCATTGTGCATGCTTTCAACAAGCTCAACGCGGCCACTATCCCGGCACAAACGCCGATACCTCGCAAGGATGTTCTTCAGAACAACATGGTTGGGTGCACGTTGTACAGCGCTCTCGACTTGGTCGATGGCTACTATCAGCTGCTCACGAGAGCGAGTGATATCCCTCTCACTGCGGTGAGTACTCCGAGCGGCATGCTCTGGGAGTGGTTGGTTATGCCCAAAGGGCTGTCAAACGCACCGGCAACGTTTAATCGTCTTGTGACGCAGTTGTTTCGGCCGCATCGCGCATATGCGCAGACGTACTTTGACGACATCTTCGTCCACAGTCGTGCGGAGCACGGGAAGTCGGATATGGAGAACCACATCGACCATTTGAGAGCCGTGCTCGAGTGTATGCGAGCGAACAAGCTCTACGCCAATGTCGACAAGTGCATCTTCGGCGCTGAAGAAATTCCCTTTCTGGGATGCTTCATTGGGAAGCGTGGTCTCCGAGCGGACCCTGACAAGGTCAAGGC